ATCGATTACAAAGCTTAAGAACCCTAGATTCGCATTTAACAATATCAATCTCTCGATTCACTTGAACAATCTTTGCCTCTATCTTCTTCGTTTTCTTCTCGGTTTCTGCAGAAGAATTTTTTTTTTTTTTTTAATTCAAAACAAACTAAACCGATACATGTAAAACAAAAAAAAAAGCAACTAAACCGAAATTAACTGTGCCGTTTGGTTTTCGTCGTTAGGGGTATTTTCGTCAGATTTTGGCATAACTGCCATCACGTGAAAACGAAATCTCACTTTGCCAAAAGCTGAGACCAAATCTTTTTTTCAGCATAAATGTGAAAATTTCTTTTGTTTTTGTATTGGTATATCAACCGATGTACCACTTGACCATCCATCCAAAAGAAAGGGTCGGGAAGGTCCCGCGTTCAAGCAATGATGAAGGATATGAGCTAGGCTTATTTGATATTTCTAGTTCCCGGTCCGAAGAAATTATGAGTCTAGACCCGAAACTTTTTAGTTAATTTTTATAAAATATGTATGGTGTTAATTTGGTTGAATGATATAAAACATTGTTTTTTTCTTACATGCATGTTGACATAATGGGTTGTGTGATATGGCAGGCAGCTCCAGAGAAACGCCAGGTTTTCCGCCATGAACTTCAAAGAGTTGGCAATGAAGGCGCAAAAGTTCTGCGTTTGATTGGAGACAAAGTGGAGAAAATGGAGAAGCTAAGCCCCATGGAGATTCTAAATGACGTTCAACTTGCAGCAGAGGAGCTACAGATGAAAATAGACAGTAAATCCTACCTTCTTGTGAACTCAGAAAGCTGGGCGGCTACTAAAGAGCAAGCTGAAGCTGAAGTAGATGAAGAAGAAGCTCACGAGACCAAAGTGATCAAATCCTTAAGTCAGATTTGGGATACCAACAGTAGCACCAACAACCAGAATCCAACTAGTGGTAATGATGAATCTCAGATATGGGAATCAACAGAGAGTATGATGTTAAGAAACCGCGAGACATGGCCAAGTGTGTCCTTCATTGGTGGTTCTGTGGTAAATGAGACAGTATATAAAGTATACGAAAGCGCGAGTTCTTTGTCTTTAGCTACGTTTGCTTCCCTTCTCATCGAGTTTGTTGCAAGGCTGGAGAACCTTGTAAACGCCTTTGAGGAGCTAAGCACAAAAGCAGATTTCAAAGATCCGGTTCCTCTTAACGTAGTGGATCAAGGATTATGGACAAGACTCATGAGACTTAGGAGACTTAGGAGATACTTTAGCAGAAGTGAAAACTGAATCCTAGCTAAGAGGATTAATATGTAGTAAATGTTGTATAATTTTAACCTGAGTTAAAAGAAAAGGGACTTCCTTTTTATAATGTTCATTTACGTTTTCATCTTCTATTTCATGATCTAAGTCGTTATTAATACCCGGTTAAAAATTTCAGGTCTTTCTAGTTGATAAGCCATAATTAGTGCACACTATTTTGTATTCCAAAGTGACTCGCTTAGGGTTTATTTGTCTAATGCTTTTGTAAATCAATGCCGTGGTAAAGAAGTAAACTATTGACTATTAAGAAATTTGGGTTTTGCTTGACATTTCCATTGTTTTGGTCTAGATAGTGAGATGTGGCTTACTTACGAACATGAGGGACAAGTAGTAGTAGTAGTAATAACCAATTTCGTCTAGAACTCAAAATTGCTCTCATTCTTGGTCACATTATTCTTCTATATGCCGTATGATCGGAATATAATGCTGGTTTTCTCCTAAACCGATTCAGCAAAGAGCATGATTGAGTAGTCGCTGAGATTCAGCCTTTTAAGAAATAGACTCAAAGTTCAAGTGCGGGAATGTTTTGTTTTTCTTAAATTTTTTTTATCTAGTTCTCATTTGGCGTTTCGTTTTTTTTTTTTTTTTTTGTCAACCACACATTTACTAAAAAACTCTATAGTTGGTTACCCAATTTGGAGGAGAAATGTTTACAAAAGTAGTTTCAGAAAATAAAAGTTTAGAGAAGCGGGATAAACAGTCCGCTTTTAAATTACAAGAACGAGGAATAAGAGAAAGTGAGAAAGAGGGAAAGGAAACACGTAGCAAACCAAACTCGTCTAGAAGGTTTGAGAGAGCTAGTCATTCATCAGATATTTTCGCTAATGTGGCATTTTCTTGTGACTTTCAATAAAATTTCAGTGTTATCTAAATAAGATATTTTCTTATAGTAATAAAATTATACTAATTCCAAAAGAAAAAACATCGCATTAAACTACAAAAACAAAGGATAAAATGCAAAAGTAGTATATTTGGTCTAGGACCTTGTGGTCTAGTGGTAAGGAGACGGGCTTAAAGCGCCAACACGTCTCAAGTTCGATCCACCTGCTGCGTGAAACTCCAACACATTGTTTCTGGACATCCACATGAATATGGGCCCTTGCTTTCGGCCCATATGAATATCCGGAGAGAAGGTCTATCCATGGGCTGCACCTCCCCCAAGGATTAGTCTGAGCCCCTCCATATGCTTAGGATCTACCCTGAGTTATCAAAAAAAAAAAAAATAGTATATTTGCGAGAAAGCATCAATACTAATTGTATTTCTTTCTTTCTTACAAATGATCAATTAACGTATTTCAGAACGATTGAGTTTTTTTTTTTTCTTTCTATTCTTAACTTGTCTACAAATGACCTAAAATTAATTTATTCAGAACTACAAAATTTTCCGTTTGCATTATGACATATATTTGGGACTGGCCATTATTATGAAATTATAACGATGCTAACTAAATAATTGAGATAGTTGATGGATAAGCTATGCGCAGAGAGGGGAGCACATGGGGTATAAAAATATCATATCATTTTGATATTTAAAAGATGATAAAAGGCTTCCTTGCAAAATCCCTGTGATTGGTACTTCACAGATAACTTAAAACTAAAAGGCGTATTCACTTTAAACACTACAACAAAAAAAGATTGGTTAACAAAAATATAAAGTCGAAGAGACAGACTAGCACATGTGCACCCATTTTTCATAAGTAAGTTTATATTAAAAAAAAAAAAAAAAACTCGATTTGATAGTGTTTATTCTCCTAAAACATCTGATAAAATTATAGGTTAATTGTTATAAAAGCATCACATACGAAAATGGTGCAAATAAAATTTTCAAAGCTAACAAGAACGTTACCTAAACTGTTCTATCCATGGCCAAAGCTGAAACCAACAAACTTTGGTTAGAACGTTATTTTTTTTTTCATCCATTATTAGTTTTCTTTTAATTTATTTTTATCTTTTGCTTTGTATTTTAGTAAGATTCACATGTCTTGCATTCAGATAAAGAGACGTTAAAAAGCATTTTAGCTAAAAGAGATTCCATTTCGGATGTCTTTAATTCTTTATACTACAAGTTCTACTATTTTTTTTAATCACAGAACGCTAAAGTCGCAAACTTAAACTGGTTAAAGTTTTATTCCTTTCTTTTCCAATTCAATGTTATGAGCTACACAAAATGCTAACAGAAGAGGAAAACATTATCAGTTTATAAACAAATGAAGGCATTTTTAAACATTATCATTTATTTTTGAAGATATATCAAACCAATAGTTTGATGCATATTTCTTATTTTAAAAAAAAAACCATCATGCATGGTCCAGTAGTTACAAGTTTAGGTTGAGGGTGGTTGTTCCAAGTGACAATTAACATATGTTTGAACAATCGAACTAATAAAGTTTGGTATAGACTTAGTGAAGGATTAATTGAGATTGATTTTATATATGGTTTAGACATGGTTTAGAGATTGATTTAGTTATAAAAGAGTCAAGTGTTTTTGACAAAAAAAAGAGTCAAGTGCTTGAGGTGTGAACTTCATTTATAAAGTGACGAACATCAAAATTATTATAGACGTGTACTTGCGGGTTAATAGTTCCTATAGAATTTCACCAGTACATTACGTGTCAAATTGTATCCTATTTAGATTTATAATATGCGTATCCCTACCAAATTTATGGACACGTTGATCTACTTTTAAAGATTCTGTTTTCGGTAATAAATTTAGAATCCAGATCTCACCTAGGCTTATACAAAACTTACAAGATCCAAAATATATTACAAGACGATTTAAACAAAAACCAAATGCATTAGAACCAAAACGGGAATTTCGAGGTTCTAGTTTAAGAAAAAACTCGTATATACTAACGAATGGTCGGTTAAATGGCTGGCAAGAAAAAATGATATTAAGAAATTAGAATGTTTTAAATTATTTTTTTAAATAAAAGTATAGTGCAATAAGCTAACAAGTGGCCGGTGTAATTAAAATTTAAAAATACCATACTCTTTCCACAATTTGATCTCTCATTCGTCCTTTTCCATCAATTTTTATTCATTATTTAAATCCTTGCTTGAAAAATTGCTAGGCGCTAGTCGGCGTTTGGTATAGGCCTAGCGATTAATCAGAAAATCGGATTAAAATCGGAGATTAGTTTTAGGGTTATTTTAATATTTTTAAAACATATTAATCAAATATTGTTTTCAAAATTGCATTAAACATATAAAACTGTATTTTAAATTTTTTATGATTTTTGTTATAAATTTATATTTTTTTATTAAACTTTGAACATAAGTTATTGTAAAACATCACAAACTCCCAATTTAAATGATTTAATAACAAAAATAAATCGGGATATGTAAAATTAGGCGGAGAGTAATCGGATTAGGCAGGAACTAATCGGATTAGACGGAGAATAATCGGGTAACTGATTTTTTTAGGGGATTAGTCATTAATCGAGGCAGATATGTTGGATCTAGCTATTAAGCGAAGAGTCATCGGGGTAGGCGGAAATTTTTAGAACATGGATTTAAATGTAAGAGAATCAAAAATAAAAAATGGTCTAATCGAAGGTAGGTTTAGCCGTTTAGGTGAGAAAAGAGCTTACTTATACCTTTTGATAATGTGTTCGTCAAAACAGAACCTATAAAGCCAACCCACCTACTCATCTTTTCTTCTTATATTATTTACTCCAAGTTTCCTTCCAATTTCAATAAAATATAATCACATCTCTCTATCCAATTTTAAATCACATATATAAATTATTTTTAATACATAAAATAAATTGAAAATAAGTCTTGATGATCTCAACATCAATTGACCGGTCATAAAATATTTTCATAATAAAATTGAACATAAACACACACTAGGAACAAACACTATATTGATTTAAAAAAAAAAATCCAAAGAAATAAATGGTTTGTGATCTAAGAAGTTGGAGATAGATAGATGCATCTCCACTAAGAGCAAAATGTTTGTTTTTAAACAGAATATGTGTCCACACGAAACACAATACTCTAATTAGGAGATGCAAATTGCATGTAAACACTAATTCACCCAATAAATTCGAAAAACCTACCAAATAATAAAACTTACTAATGTTGTTTCTCTTCATCCAAACTTTTCTGCGTGTATTATTATTTATTATCATATACAAGATTTTTTTTAAATATTAGAAATATCTTATTTGTATGCAAATATTATTATATAAGTAAAGATGTATATCATAATGTATGTATCCTTTATGTGTCTCTATTATAACGTGGATCAAGATTCTTTCTTATCTTCATCACTCCACACATTTTCTTGTCTTCAAACTCACACAAAGAAAAGAAAAAAAAATCTCCAAAGCTCAAAAAAAATGACTCGACCGTCAAGATTACTTGAGACGGCGGCGCCGCCACCACAACCGTCGGAGGAGATGATCGCAGCGGAATCCGACATGGTAGTGATCTTGTCGGCTCTTCTTTGCGCTCTTATATGTGTAGCTGGCCTCGCCGCCGTCGTACGTTGCGCTTGGCTCCGGCGGTTTACCGCCGGAGGAGATTCGCCGTCACCGAACAAAGGCTTAAAAAAGAAAGCTCTTCAGTCTCTTCCAAGATCCACTTTCACCACCGCGGAATCAACCTCCGGCGCCGCCGCTGACGACGGAGACTCAACGGAATGTGCTATTTGTCTCACTGACTTCGCCGACGGTGAAGAAATAAGAGTGCTTCCTCTTTGTGGACATTCTTTCCACGTGGAGTGTATTGACAAGTGGCTAGTTTCTAGGTCTTCGTGTCCTTCTTGTCGCCGGATTCTTACGCCGGTGAGATGTGACCGGTGTGGTCATGCTTCGACGGCGGAGATGAAAGATCAAGCTCATCGTCATCAACATCACCAACACTCTTCTTCCACCATTCCTACGTTTCTTCCTTAATTAACACTAATTTTTGTTTTATTATGGCAATAATTGATTGCATAAAAGTTATGTAAAGTGAGTTTAATTAGGAATAGAGAGGGATCTTAAAAGTTTTTTTCTCTTCGTTTCTTGTAATCCACTGTACTTAATCAAATCTCAGATGGAGTTCAAATTTCGAGATGTTTGTTTATTTTCGAAAAAATCTAATTTACAAGAAGAGTAGATTATTGAATGGACAGCTAATGGAGTCGGCCATGTGAGCTTATCTGAGGCTAAGTTTCTTTGCACTCATCGGTCCCTCCGAAATTACCAAGTTTTCTTTTCAGGGGAAAGAATTGGTTATTTTCTACTTTCTTACTTTTATAAAAATTGTTGGGTTTTTTTGCTAGCAATCAATTACATAAAACAAATTGTGTTTCTTTAAGGCTGACATCTTGATAATTTTTAACAATTATGAAGATAATAACTATCAATTAGAAAATTTAAAAGATAATAATTCTTTTTGAATAACTAAAATATGTGAAATGATATATATGTAAATTCAAAAAAAAAAAAGTTTAAGAGAAAAGAAAATTATCTTTTTAAAATGGTTAATATGGTGACAACTGATTTTGGCGTGGCAATTTATGTGATAAGAGCGAGCAAACTGGAGAGCCGTTGTTGATAGTCTTACTTAACCAGCTTCTCCTGTCTCTATCTTGATCCCCCGCGGAAGCCAAGAATCAATCTATGGCTAAAACTGTCAGCAAACTTATCTATATTAAAGGGTTTGCTTCTTTAGATATAGATAAGCAAGAAGTTGTGTTATTTTGTAATGTTTTCTTATGGTTGATGCAATTTTTTTAATGTCCGTCCACTGGAATTTCTCATGTTTTGGACAGTTAACGCTCAGATGGATCCTTCAAATTAAGAGGTAGAAACAAGAAATGGTGTTAAAAATTTGTTGTTTGATTTCAAAAACTGAAGGACGTATATAGTTATGGTTGGTTGATCTTGTAATGTTTTCTCATGTTTCAGTACCTCTTAAGGCTCAAATTGTTGGGTATATAGAAATGGAAAAAAGTTGGACGATCTACTTGAGAGGTAATAACATGAGTAATAGTAATGCTTTCAATGAAATTAATTGGAAAAATTATTTAAAAGAAGGAATGCATCATATTACATGAAAAAGTGGATTGCATGTTAAGAATCTAAAAGACTAAGGCACAGATAATAGAACAGAGGCAAAGTAATATTTTTCATTGTTGCTTAAGCTAAAACTAGGACCAAAACAGAGTTGGTCGGTCTTCTCTAACATGAAAGAGGATAATCTTCAAAACGGAAAGGTAAAGACGATAAGCTGAGGTTGTCAGAAATTACTTGGATCTTGCATTTAGCTGAAGCTACGTACTCTAGGAACTAGGAAGCATCTCAAATTGCTTGGAAACTTCAATCACATGGTCATCATATGGTGTATCATAGTATAATATCATTTGTTCAAGATTCAGCATTGTCTCTAGAAAGTGCTTGACCTGCTTTATCTGTTTTTCCATATCATCGTAATTATAAAAAGTTTCACCAAAAACTTGCATACTTTTACAACTTTCACTGGACTTGATGATAAGCAAGTAGGAATGAACTGAAGTCAAAGCAGAATCTTTTATAGGAAGTCAAGATTCAGCTAAACCCCAATAAACAAGAACACACATATGATCAAAAAGCCATTTTTTATTTATTTTGGGCTTTTCGAACTTCCTGGGCCTTGCCAACAAACACGGTCCAACAAGAGAGAACCAAACCGAAATAAATTGAAGTAAAAGAATTCCACTAAACCCGGTTTGCTTCTTCGTCTCTCTTGTTTTCCATTTAAAAGGTACTGAAGAAGAGCATTTGTTTGCGTTACTGTCTTCTCCAAAATCGAAGACTATAGCAGCATCTCCTCGTCAATCTCGCCAAGGACTTCTAGGTTTTGCCCATTTTTTCTTTCTTACATTCAATGCCGTTTCTCTGTTTGTTTCTCTTCGTTCTGTCGATTTCGTTGTCAGGGTTTTTGTTGTTACTTGTTAGGGTTTATGTTAGTGTTTTTTAGAGCCTTTTTGACCTTTAAGTTCGCTAATGCTTGAAAGCTCCCAACTTTTTTCCTAAGAGAACCATAAATAGTGAAAAAGTGATGATCTTGGTTTTTTTTTTTCTTTCACTTCCTTATATTGAGAAAGACTTTGTTTTTGGTTTGATTGAAATTTGCTTTGGTAACTTTTAGTTCCCAGTAATGACATTTATGGTGAATTTCGATTTTGGTGTTAGGGTTTATGTTAGAGCCCTTTTTACTAGTAAGATCGCCATTGTTTGAAAGCTTCTGACGTTTTTCCTAAGAGAACAAATGCAAAAGTGATGCTCATAGTGTTTTTTGTTTGATTGAAATTTGTTTTTTTTTTTTTTTTTTTTGGTGAATCAAGGGCCCCCTTTTTTATTAACAAGGGGTTTGATTGATGTTTTGGTAACATTTAGTTTCCCTGTAATGACATTTATGATGAATTTGTTCTTTGATACTTTATTTGCATATATATATTGAAGACTAAGAGAATCCCTAAACTTTCTATTTCAGGAGGGTCAACAAGAAGATCATGGTATCACTCTCCTCCTTCTTTTTTTTTTGTTTTTGTATTCGCTTCTTCTGCTTGATCTTGATAAACTATGAACTGAAAGATTTAATGGGGAATAATTTGCATCATTTCTCTTCTCACCAGAAGAAGGGAATATTTGGGAGAGCTTTTGCGAATGCACCAATATTTGCTCTTGGATACTTCACAAGTATGTGGCTTTAAAGGATCTTTTAGGTCATTGATTAGTTTATGATTTGCTTTTTGGGGAAACAAGCTTCATCAATGTGTTTATTGTCTTTCCTTCAGATGATGCTTTAACCCCTAATTTAAATAAAAAAATCAAACAAGTCGAACAGGTAAGCAAGAAATGTTTTTTTTTTTCGTTTTTTTTTTGGGTGTGTGTGAAAGGATACAGTTACCGTCTTCTCACGTTTCAGGTGTTGGCTAAAGCAGAGTCCTTAGGACATGTAAGCAAGAAATGGTGTTATGCACCTCAAGTTGTTTGATTTTGAAAAGACAACTATAGTTATGGTTGACATGTAATCTCTTCTCATGTTTCAGACGTATAAGGCTGAGCTGGCTAAGGTGGAAAAAAGGGAAAAGATTGTGAACCGTCTAATTCAGGTAAAAAAACAAGCTATAATGGATCTTAAAAGTTTGATTTTGAAAAGACATTAGTCATGGTTGACATGTAATGTCTTGTCATATTTCAGAGATGTGAGGTTCTACTGTTTGAGTTGGAAAAAAAGGAAAAGAAGTTGGACGATCTAGGGAAGGTAGCAGCAAGAATTGGTGTCAATGAATCTATTGTTTGTTCATTTTGAAAGGACATATAGTTATGCTTGATTACCTCTAATGTCTTTGTCATGTTTCAGTTGTATAGGGCTCCTCGAATGGATGTGTTGAAAGAAAAGGAAAAGAAGTTGGACTATCTAGGGCAGGTAAAATCAAGAAATGGTGTTAATGAATTTCTATTGTTTGTTGAGTTCGAAAGGACATAGATAGTTATGCTTGATTACCTCTAATGTCTTTGTCATGTTTCAGTTGTATAGGGCTCCTCAAATGGATGTGTTGAAAGAAAAGGAAACGAAGTTGGACTATCTAGGGCAGGTAAAAGCAAGAATTGGTGTTAATGAATCTCTATTGTTTGTTAATTTTGAAAGGACATAGATAGTTATGGCTTGATGACCTCTAATGTCTTTGTCATGTTTCAGTTGTATAGGGCTCCTCGAATGGATGTGTTGAAAGAAATGAAAAACGCCGATGGACGATATGCAGGAAGAAACTAAGTGGAGTTTCATACTAAGAAATGGATCAGAAGAAACTATGTGATTTGGTGCAGAGAATGAAGGCAGAATATGAACTCTTTAAAAACTTAGTAGCTCCAAGGTTTTGATGATCTAACCTTGGGTTAATTCTTAACTTTTGAGTTCTGTTAGTAATTGGAATATATATTTAAAATGTCAATCCTTGAATATATATCAACTTATGAGTAAATCTAGTTTGTTTTGCTGTTACTAAATCATATTTAACCTTAACTATGTTTAGCAATATATTAATAACAAAAGTAACCCAGAACATGACAAACACGTGGGGACATAGGACGACTATATCTTTGTCCTTGTATGAAATTTTGTTGCTATTATTTGAACTAAACATATTTAATTCTGAACTAAACATCAAAAGAACAAAAAATGAGTTACATCAAGAGACACAAGAATAGAATCACTTTGAGATTCACAAATTCCATTTAACTTAGGATCCAGTCCTGATTCTTCTGTTCTGCCGGAAACATGAAATGGAACTGCTTTTTTTTGGTTTGGATTACATGTTGTTTAGAGCTCTAAGAAAGAAATCAACCTGAAGATTAAAAGGTCAGATTTGTTCAGAGTGGTTTAGAGGATCTCCATGATGCTCTGTTTTCTCTAGTTGGTGGAGGACTTGCAGAAGAAGCAAATACTGTTAACCCAGCTCTTTTTCGGCTTAGTTCCTTGAGATTTGGTGTTTCTTGCCTCCACGAGATCATTCATGTATTGAACCACGGCCTGAGATGATAGCGAAGAGCATTGATTAATCATCCATGACTGACACAAACTGACAAACTCCATAAGCTACACATATGTCGAAGAAGGACAAAAATAACTGAGATAAGAAAGAACCTGTGCCCCCTTTTGGGTTATATCTCTTGGAAGCTCTTCAAGTGGATTTTGTTCTGTGTGAAGAACACGCAGCTGTGAAAGCGTTTTGAAAGAGTAAGGAAGGAAACGAATCTGGTTATTGCTCATATCAAGCTCTTCTAGCTTCTCAAGGTTGCCTATTAACCCCGGGAGTGATCTTAGGTTGGCAAAATTGTTCCCAATGTTAAGCTTAACAAGTGTTTTGGCATAACATAAGCTCTCTGGTACTGACTCAAGCTCGTTGAAACTCACATCTAGCTCTTTGAGGTTAGCCATGGAGGACATTGTTGTGGGTAACTGCCGAATGTTATTGTAACGGACAGTCAGAATCTCTAAGGTAGATAACTTCCCAACAGCTTCTGGAAGAGCTTTAAGTCGGTTGTAATCTGCACGGAGTTCTTTCAGGAAAGAACAGCCAGAGATACTATGCGGAATCTCTTCGATATTATTTGTTTCAACATCGAGCTTCTTTAGGCTCACGAGAGAACCGATATATTCAGGGAGAATGGTGAGGCTGTTAGAGCTCAAATCAAGTTCCTCGAGATGTATCAATCTACTAAATGCTGATGGAAGAAATGATAATTGGTTTCCACTAAGATTCAGGTTGATCAAGTTTAGCAAATCTCCTATAGACTCAGGGAGCTGACCAATTCTATTCGAATGCAAATCAAGCCTCGTCAAAGACAAAAGCCCTCCTATGGTTGCCGGTAGTACCATGATGCAATTCTCAGACAAATCTAGCCTAACAAGACTCGATAACTTGCCTAAAGATTCCGGAAGCCATTCGAGCTGATCCATCAGCTTGTGCTGCAGATTTAGCTCCGGAGTAGCTTTCTTGGCCGATACTTCAATCAAACTAGCAAGTTTTATGAGACTCAACTTCTCCCCATCATGGCCTACACATAATGATTACAATGCAATTAGAGACAAATAGACTCCATTGGAAAACAATCTAACACATCTGAATCTTAAGCTTATATTCTATCAAAAAAGTCCAAAACTTACATGGCCAACACATATAATGATTCCAATGCACTTACAAAAGCAAACAAACCACCTGAAAACACTATATGAATCTTAACCTCAGATTCTATCAAAAAGTTAAAACATTTCAAGTCCAAACAGTTTTTCCATGGCCTACCCATATAATGATTCCACTACAGTTATAAAATTCCATAGGCAAAAGCAAACTAATCAACATGAAAACACTATGAATCTTCAAAACATCAGAAAAGTCAAAACATTTCATGGCCTACTACACATATAATGATGATTCTATTGGAAAGCAAAGACATTTCAATGGAACTCACCTGTGACGTTCTTAGCCTGATGAAGTGTTGAATCCAAAACCTGGGGCTTACAAGGAGCTAACAACCCATCACTATAAAACGAAGATTTAGCTTTCTTCACAAACGTATCATCACGCGAGATAATTTCCTTTGACTTCACAAGAATCTCATGAGAAGAAACAACCGGTTCTTGTGCCGGAAGAGACCGATGCAGAGAGGTGGTACTGGTGCCGTTAGGAGAAGCAATGCAAAAAGAAGCTCTCTGAATCAATTCGTCGAACACAACGTGTACAGACTCCAGATCGAGAATTTTCGTAGCTTCTCTTCTCTGTTCTTTGCTTTGGAAATTAACAAGACTTTTCTTCATCTCCTTCAACACATTGAAAAGCTCTTTAGGAACATCAGAGGAAGGTTTAATCATCTGTTTATCAATGGCTTCTAAGCGATCCCGATCTTCTTTTTCAACGTTTTGTATCAGAGAAGTTGCGGTTTCTACATCTTCGATCTCTGGTCTACAAGGAAGAGATCTGTGAATTCTCATGATTTCTTCCACAACCTTCTCCTTGGAATCCAAATCCATTTTCTACAAAATCACCAAATCTTGCTCAGAAATGAGAGATGGAAGGAGAAGAAAGAAGAAGATTGTCAAAAATATTCATGTTTCCATAGTTTCTCTGTGAAAGATTGGATCTTGTTTGTTTGTTTTCTCTTTCTTCTTCGTCTTCTCATTCTTTCTTCGTCAGTTCTTTTCTTCTTTCTTCTTCGTCGCCTCTTTCTTCTCTAACTGCATTTAAATAATTCAAAATATATATTAGTTTATTAGTCACTATCTCTATCTCTCGTGTCGTTTTCTGTTTAGGTTAGTGATAATTTTGTTTATGTCAAGAGGATCGACGTAAACAATAGTTAAGTATTATATATGGTGGATCATATAAAATGGAGAAAAGAAAACATGATCATGTAGTGTTGTGGATTATTTTATTTTTATAATATATTATATTAACTCTAATGAGGTTGGACCAAGTCTTGCAAAGATTAAACAAACAAAACGAGAAAGTAAATTGGTGTTTTGTAAACGGTGGCCGAGAATCCGTCATCAATTCCTGTTTGATCATATCACCGTTTGTTCAATCTATGAGGTAGAAGATGAATTAAATTGATGGTTGACACGGTGAAGACAAAGATATTGTATTCATCGTAAAGTTTGATACCATTGTCGACAAAATTGCGGTTAAAGCATAGAAACAACATGAAGAGATTACATAGTGTCTCATAGTATGTTCAATGATTTTCATATATATATATATATATAGATATATATCTATTTTTTCTCTATAAATATTATGTTGTCCTTTGTAAGGTGGAGTATAAGTAGGATAAGGTGTGAAAAGGTCATAAGGCATTGGCTGGGTTTTGGGTTGGTTTTATAAGAAGTTTAGTTGGGCTCTGAGGGATTTTACTTATGACTCCTTTTGGTACATGATGGGTGAGTTTATGGTAACAATAGTGGATAGGTGGAGGAGTTCTTGGTGGAGGGATGAATTTCTTTTGGGTTATGTCTTAGATGTAAATGTCCATGATGGTTACCTTTTTGTCAATTTGATTCAATAGGTGATTTTGAGTTGCTGCATTTTTTTACTGCCAATTTAGTGTTGCCTCTGCTTCACTGACTTGCTTCATCGATCCGTCTGGATTCTTTATGTTCGGGTTTCATATTTTCCATGAGTGCTTGATGTTATTTTCTTCAAAGTCTTATGATGGTGGTCTTTAATTAGCTGGGGGACCAAACATGTAGCTCAGCCTCACTTCTTCTATATGAGGAGTTGTGGGAGTGGAACTGCTTGGATACAAGACATTGTATTCAAAAATTCTTCCACTGGTTTCTCCGAGTAAGCCAACTTGCGGGTTTTCTGACACACAACGTTCTCTGAGAATCAGTTGAGAAGACTTCTGTTGAGGTTTACACCTCTCAAAGCCTCAAGCTTTATGTCATCAACACCAAAACGGAAACAGAGCAAGCAAAATATGGAGAAGAAGAAGAAATATAACAGAGCAGAGGAAAGGAAGAAGAGGAGCACACAAGCATTTGTTCACCCGGTTCACGGTGTTAACTAACCGCTACGTCCGGTTAGGATCTTTCGATCCACATCCTTCACTATGAAGAGAAAGAGGGTGACTACAAGATATACAAGTGAATGCCTTAAACTCTCACTACAACTTCTTCTTTCTTCGTCTTGGTTTCTCATCTTCATCGGAACTATCCATTAAGTACTTTTCACAATCGCAAATATCAAAATAATTGTGAACTGTTTCGTCAGCGAACGAGTAGACGTGATCTCCAAGTGAATCAAAAATTTGATTGGAACACCGGGTGTATGCGTGTCTAGCTCCTCATCTTGACCAACTTTAGTTGGAAAGATCGTATTGATTTCTATACAAAAGGCTGTAGGTTTTGGTTTTTTCTTCTTGTTGGTTAAAAGCAATTTCCATCGATCTGTCATTTCTTATGTGAATAGAGGAATTCACCGATTGGATTGAAACACTTTTATCATAGAGTTATATGTAATTGATCACTCATAATTTGTTACTAATTATTAAAGATAGCAACAATTTACTAATTATTTGAGAAAAAAAAAGAAATTTGCTACACAGATTTGACCGCGCAACGCAAAGCGCGGACTATTACATTAGAAAAAGATAAAGTCTTATTAGTTCCGTTAACTTTTTGCCATATATGGGCCGTGTGATTTTACTAATGGGCTTTAGTGGGATAGGCCCTTTTCCCTTGTATAAAGTGAGCCTTGCCTCATATCCACCGCCTCCGATCTCTAGATTCATCGATCCATTTCCCGCCTCGTTCGTTTCTCCGGTGGCGATCCTTTCTTTTCTCCGCATCCAGCGCCTCCGATCTCTAGATTCATCAATCGATTTTCCGTTCCGATGGCTTGTTCAGTGACGACAGGGTACAAGCTCGGCTGCGAGCTTGGCGGCAATGTTTCTGTTAGTTTTTGACACCCTTAGTCTAGGATTTGATTTTGCCTTCGATTAGATCTTACTCGGATTTCTTTTAGGTTTTCTTGATTGGATATATATCTATTTTTTCTCTATAAATATTATGTTGTCATTTGTAGATTTTATAATCTATTTTCAAATCGTAGGCGATGGTTGTGGAGTTGGTCGTCTCGCGTTTTCTGTAGTTAAATCCACTGAAAAAACAATTTTATTGCACTTCACAGTCTATAAGCGGTTCATGAAATTGGTAAGTCGGTGTGCAAATTTTGGACTATCACATAAGCACCTTACGTTATATCTATATTTTTTCTATTAACATTTTAGTGTCATATGTATATTTTCTAATCTATTATCAATTTATAGACGATGATTGTTGAGTTGGTCGTATCGCATTTTGTATAGTTAAGTCTATTAACAAAAAAAAATTCTATCGGCACTTTACAATCTATAACTGGCTCATAAAGTTGGTGGTGTCGAATTTTCGACCGCAAACGATAAAAACATCGGATTTAAAGCCTTTGAACTAATGAATGACTTTTTCTTGGGCAAAAATAAGCAAACTACTTGAAACAAAACAAGTTAAATGTGAAAAAATTTCAACAAAAATCTACCAAGAACATAAGATTTTAGAAATATAAGATACAATAATATCTACTAATAAAATGTTTATGCTAATGTTCATAAATTTGTTAAACACAAGGTAATGGAAAATATGCATAAGATAAAACATAAACAATTTCAATAAACTCACCATCTTAAACTGTACACTACACTATCATTTTGTATCGTGTTAGAGTTTCCGTCTTTGTTCCTTTTGTACATTAAACTTTTTTCGTTACTCTTTTTCGTTACGTGGCTCAATAAATTTAACATTCAACAAAATAAAAATACAACAAATATTGTACACTATCATAGTGACATTTAAAATCGAGTTTCAACATCTTAGAGACAAGTGCAGTATGACAAGAAAAATAAAAAAAAACAATATCAAAGATTCATGAGGTAAAAGCTTGTCAATGGCTATTTTTTTTTTTCTGCTAACTTATAGATATCATTAGAAATAAAATGGAAGGTAATACAAAGAATATTACCTAAAGGTAGAGTAATCTTGGCAAAAAAAAAAAAAAAACAAGATTACAATACTTAAGGGAAAGAGATAGAAAGAATCCGAGATAGCGAATCCAAAGAAGCATCAACTTCCTCCATCTTTTCTTATACCGTGTACCAGAGATGGTGTTTCGGATCTCTATATCAATATTCTTGAAGATAGTTGAAGGAGGGACCTTTTGGTTGTTGTGGAGAATGTTATTCCTTTGTCGCCATATGTGGTAAACGAAGGCCTGTGCAACAACTTTCCTGAGAGTAGAAGGCGCTTGTGGAGTCCGAAAACGAGTCTAGGAGAGGGGTTATGACTAGGTGCAGATTTGGCGATGACCAGGAGTTAATCTGTAGAAAATATCTTTCCAGATAGCAGCCGCAAATAAATATAATCTAAGCAGCATTCAAAGGCTATTTCAAACTATTATGAAACTATCATGACATACGAATATAATCTAACATACTAGCAAATAAATATTTAAACTTGCACCACTATGTGCATTCAACAACACCTCCATATGATGAAAAATAGGCTTACCATCTTCACATTTTAATTTCCTTAAAAACATTAAATGAATAACTACATTTTCTCCTCATCTTTGATGCTTTAAACTTGGCTTTCTAATTTTATCTTCTCCACATGTTTTCGACCATAAATTCTCATGTTTCGATTCATTCAAGGAGGTCAAATATTTAGGATAATCATGTCTTTATAATTTTTCACTTATGACGGTTGTATAGTTTTAACGTAATTTTTTTTTTTTTTTACAATCCTATAAAGTGTTTTTGAAAACTTTTGTTTCTTTAACATAATGGTTTCATTCTAAAGTATTTGTATCACTTTATTTGTAGCTCTACGTTTTGCACATTTTCATAAATATATCATCTTTTTTTTTTTTGCCAATCAAACACCATATATTAATTCACGGAATAAAACTCTCTTCTAGAGAGAGCCAATCAAGTACCGTCGAACTTACATGGGAAAAACAAAACCCGCGATTTCTTGCACATTTCGCAAGATAGTCGGCGGAGGTATTACCACTACGAGGGATATGCTTAAGAATGAAAGTAGTAAAACGATCCCTGTAATATGTAAAGTCTTTCAATTCTGTAGAAAACGTAGGTCACTCTTCCGGAGCACAGCACAGGTCATAGCCAATAGGTCAGAACAATCCGTCTGAATGAGGATACTCGTCAATGGGATCGCCAATAAGCACTTCATCGTCCATATAAGAGTATCCAGCTCTGCATGAAGGGGAGAAAGACTTCTACGCGAGCCTTTTAAGCCTAAGTGTAGCAGTCGCCCGCCCTGGAAAACAAGCCACCCGTGTCCACTTCTAGTCTCCGTCCCGAGCCAAGACCCATCAATGGAGCATACCGGTCTGTCCTCTGGGGATGACGACTCGTGCGTACTAAGAACCAACTAGGCTGATTTGCTCGCCTCCACGCGCCTTCCTCTTGAGTTGCAAGATCTAGTGTTTCTTGAGGTGGTATGCTCAAATTCTCGAAAATCTTTCGATTGCGTGCCTTCCAAATATACCACATAATCCATGGGAATACTCTTAGGCTCCCTTCATCCGCACCCGCCTCTTTACCCCGCCAATACAGATAATCTAAGTTATTGTAGAGCGACGCCGAGGGAAACAACGCTGGGGAAGATGGGATGTTGGAGAGAGCCCAGACTTGTCTAGCAAGTGGTTGATTGATTCTTCTTCTACACCACATCTTGAACATCCTTTATCTCTACCAATATGGCGATAAAATAGCCGTTGGCTTGAAGCCAAACAACCAGTAACACATTGCCACACGAAATGCTTTAATTTTTGCGTAGTTTTTAATTTCCAAGCTTGCGCCTTTAGTGTTGTAACACTAGGTCCCTGAGAAGGGTGGTCGCAAACAGGGCGAGAAATACTTCTCACGACCTCATATCCAGATTTGACGGTATAATTACCAGACTTTGTCATTGTCCAACAATAACCATCACTCGAGACAATACGACTCGGTTTAATCCCTAATATGAGGGTAATTTCCTCCGAGGGAAACAATTCCCGGAGACGATCCATCTTCCACTGTTTAGAGCCAAAGTCAATCAAGGTATTGACGCAAGCCAAAGGGTCTCTTTCCACTGTTAACCCCTTAGGTGGGCGTGCTGGAGTATCTGGTATCCATGGGTCAGTCCAAATGTAGGTACCGAAGCCCGAGCCAATGGTCTTGCGGATTCCATATCGAAGAACGTCCTTGGCGGCCAACATGCTTCTCCAACCATACGACGGTCGATTGGAGACGGTGATCTCTAGTGGACTAGAATACCGGAAGTAACGTCCTTTAAGAACCCTACTAAGGAGGGAGTCTGGAAATCGTAATAATCTCCACAATTGTTTCACCAAAAGTGCGAGATTAAAATCTTCCAAGGACCTAAATCCTAGCCCTCCTTCTGATAGTTGGGTGCAAATTTGGTCCCAAGCTATCCAGTGTATTCCTCGACTCTCGGCTTTATTACTCCACCAAAAGTTGAAAATTGCGCTAGTAAGTTTAGAACATATTGCTTTTTGCAGTAGGAAGCACGACATAACATATGTCATAAGAGCTTGTGCTTGTGATTAAATTAGGACTTCTTTTCCGCCTTTAGAGAGGAATTTTGACGACCACGAGTTTACTCTAGTTTGTAGTCTATCCCTTACAAACGTGAAGACCTGAGCTTTTGATCCATGGATTTTTTCAGGGAGGCATAAATAAGTTCACATCCCGCCTTCACGTGAAATCCCAAGAATTGTTTTGATTTCCTACCGGACGGGGCGGGGGGTGGGGGGGGGGGTGGGACCTCGTTACCGAACATAATGGATGATTTATTCAGATTAACCTCTTGTCCAGATGCCCCGCCATAAGAGCGGATGATGTCAATAACTTCCTTACTCTGGTCGGCATTGGCCTGACAGAAGAATAAGCTATCATCAGCAAACAGAAGATGTGAAACACGAGGGCTCGCATGAGAAATTCGAAGCCCCTGAATTTTGCCTTCCCTTTCAGCCTTTCTGATCTGAGCGATAAGTGCTTCCGTACACAAGATAAATATGTACGGAGAAATTGGGTCTCCTTGAGGAATGCCTCGAGATGGTCTAATCCGGCCTTTTGGATCGCCATTAATTAAAATCCGATATGAAACTGAGGTAATGCATTGCATTATCCAATCTATCCAACGAAGGTTGAATCCCATCTTTTCCATCAAGGTTCGAAGGAACCCCCATTCCACCCTATCGTATGCCTTACTCATATCCGTTTTTAGTGCCATAAGTTTCTTTCGATTTGCCGGATTGGAACGGAGAGCATGGAAGTTTTCTTGCGCGATTAGGATATTATCAATGATTAATCTCCCTGCAACGAATGCAGATTGCGTCTCGGATATTAACTCCGGAAGAAATCTCTTTAGCCGTAGGCTCAAGATTTTCGAAATGACCTTATAGCTTACATTACATAAACTAATAGGACGAAAACCTGACATTTCGCGCGGTCTCTCCCTTTTAGGGATAAGACAAATATTTGTCTCGTTCAGCTTCCCGTCAAAAATTCCGGAGCTAAAGAAATTCTTGACGATATTGGTGAGATCGCCTTTTATGACTTCCCAAAACCGTTGGAAAAAAAGAGCAGTCATCCCGTCCGTATCTGGGGCCTTAGTCGGATTCAAGGAGAATAAGGCTCGCTTGACTTCTTCTTCGGTGAAATATATCATCTTATCATAGGTGAATTGCATATTTTGAGTTGCACATTTTTTTAATTTAATTTTTTTTTATCGTAACTCTTTGTTTCAATATATAAGTTGAGTTGCATATTTTTAATTTTTTTTTGTTTTGTTTTTTAATCATAATCTTTGCTTTGATAAGTTGTGAGTTGTGTGACTTTTGACTTGCGTCTATGTAACTGTCTATTACAAAAGATTGCATCTTTCACGAACAATCTCAAAGATGGTTTGGAGGATCCCGCTCTTTATCGTAACAATTACTTTTGTAATCTTTTACATATAGTCTTTTACAACGGTTTTTCGCATAGTTTTACATACATTTATTTATTGTAAGTTATATATATTATAAGTTTATAACAGTTTATTATCATCTAAATTAGACACGAAATGTTCGTATAACCGCATATTATCATATATGTAAACAACTAGATTTTAACCCGCGGTACACCGCGGGACGTAATACTAAAAAAAAAGTTTGACAATTATTTTTTTTGAAGATTATCTATAGATATAATCTATAGTTTTGTTTGACTAAATGTATTTATATATGTATATCCTATACTATTTATATCCGGCGGTACACCTCTGATCGATTTTTTTATAACTAATTTTTTTAATTTTAAGTTGTATTTGTTTTGTTAATATTGTATGTTTTATTTAGTGTTTAAGATTATATAATTGTATTTGATTGTTAATTCTAGGATTTCATCCATAGTATACCGTCCCGATTAATATCGATCCAAACCCGTTCCACCATATAACTCCGTCCCGTGAAATTAAACATCATTTTGTTATATTTCTTTTGAATTAATATTTTTATTTTAAAAACATATAATTCGAATCAATTTAAAAGTTTGCTTTAAAAACATAAATTTGTAATGTTTTTATTATGATAAAGTAATAATATACAGATGTTGTTTACTATGTAGTTATAATTAAAACCAACTAAAATCTAAGTTTAGTGTAGATTATGAATTATAGTTATGAATTATGGGTAAATATTTTTTACTAATGAAATACATGTTATTAAGTTACTATCCCAAAGGCAAAAAGTTTTTTTTAATAATCAAGGCAAATATTAGAATTTTATTTGAACAACTAATTTGTCAAAGCAAAACGAAATACAACAAAACTAAAATTAAATATATAAAAAAATATTAAAAATTTTAGAAAGACAAAGTGGTCGTATATTTGGTAATTAAAGGTCATAGATTATCTTCATTCTTCTTTGGAAAAAATAAACAGAGACAAAATCATCTTCAATCTCCCATATCTTAACATTTTCTTCTCCTAGAGTTTTCGATTATGAGATTACACCATATAATTGAAAAATTGTGGTGACGATCAAGTAAATAAGCAGAGAGAAAGAGAGATCGAGATCGTCAGCAAAAGCCGCCGCCATATTTTGACCCTTAACCGTCGCCGCCTCCCGCCTAACCGTCCGCCAGGTATTGCAGCACCGGAGATGTCGTCGATCAATCAGACTGATGAAATAGAGGACATTATGGCTTGCGTAACGGCTTTGGAAGCTGCTCTGTTGCCATGTTTACCCGCTGGAGAGCTTCAAGTCATCGACGGCTCTTGTCATCCTTTATAGAGATCTGATGATTTGTGGATTGGTAAACGCAAATTGCGTATACTCTAATGACTTTTCTACATTCATTGACAGGCTATATATAGAGACACTTGATGTCAAGGTTAGGTGTGATTGCGAATCTAGAGAAAATTGGTAAGCAAGCATAAAATCTCCGAAATATCAACTATATTAAGTAATACAAATGATTTACTATTTAGATAAGGAATATGCTACTAATAAGGAGTGTTAGTGTAGTAATTATTTATTATATCCTTTATTTTCTCGATCTCTATAGCTAGCAAATGGAGAAAATCTTGATTGAATTTAGATTACATGTATTTTGATTAGAATTAAAATAAAAGATTTAGTATTTAGATAAGGAATATGCTACTAAGAAAGAATGTTAGTGTACTTATTAGTTTCTATGCCCAATATTTTCAAGATCACGTTCGCTATTAGGAATATTTTTGAGGGAGTTCAGTTGGGATTCACAACTAATAATCGAGATTTACAAACTAATTAATGTCAATTTTGATTTAATGTTGTAAGAGGAAATTTCGGAAGTATCCGAAATTGAAACCCGGTCACTCGTTTTTTAAAAAAAACCCACCCAACCAATAGCATTCTTTGTAAATACATTCCAACTCCAGGATTTATTTGCTAAAAGTCATCCAAAAATGTATATATAGATATTCTTCATCATTAGCTTTTGTGAGTCAATCAAATAACGTTGTTGACAAAAAAAAAATGTCTATTAGAAATGAGTAATTAATATATTGTCTACTAGCATGTGCGTCAATTAACCGAACAATAATTAATATAGACAATTATCAGTAAATTAATTATCAAGTTTATATATATATTTATAACGGATATAACATACGAGTAAAAATTTCGTAAAATTTACATAATATTTTAAACATTTGAATTCATTATCACAATAATTTAATACATAAATGCAATCAAACAAATATTTTCTATATAATATTTTGTTGAAAATGAATTTTTCTGCGATTACGCGGCGTCTTATAACCTAGTTAAATTAAGGGAAATTGTACACAACAAGAGGTTTTAAAAGAACATATACTACTTTTTCCCGCGACAATTGTTTTCTGACTAAGTAATTAGTAAACAGCATCGTTTCATTTAGGCTCGGGCATAATACCCGAACCCGAAGAACCGAACCGAACCCGACCCAAAAAATCCGACCCGAACCCGAACCCGAAGTTTTAAAATATCCGAACGGGTTCTAAACTTCACAACCCGAAAACCCGAACCCGAACTCGAACCCGAACAAGTACCCGAACATACCCAAAACATAAGTACATAGTTATAATATATTAGTAATATTATACTTGTAATAACGTAAGTGCCTAAATTATTCGGATGTTAAGATATTTTCGGGTGTTTTAGCTACTTTGAGTTAGATTCGAGTTAAAATACTTGGGTTTTATAGATTTTTTGAGGATTTTTCAATACTTTGCATAGAATCGGATACAAAATTTCTAATATTTGGATACTTTGGGTAGACCCGAATCCGAACCCGAAATACCCGATCCGAACCCGACCCGAACCCGAAGTTTTAAAATACCCGAACGGGTCTTAGTTTTCTAAACCCGAAAAACCCGAACCCGAACCCGACCCGAATATCCGAACGCGAAAAACCCGACCCGAATACTCGAAAAACCCGAACCCGAAAAACCCGAAAAACCCGACCCGAATGAAACTTTCATTTGAACTTTGAAGTAACAACAGAAGAAAACAGCTAAGAGTGGTGGAATTCCATCTGTTGTTGTTGAATCCTGTCAATAGCATCCTCTGCTCCAGCTTCAAGATCAGACATTTCGTCTTCTTCATCTTCTTGTTTGTAGTATATCATGTTAGAAGAGTGACCAGTGGTCTTGGAACGGTGAAGAGTAGTTGCGGAGGAAGAGGAAGAGAGGCTGAAACTCTCTGAAACACCAAGTGTCTTGCTCGGGAGCTTCCTCGCTTTGCCTTTCTTCAGTTTGATGTCTTTGTGCCACTTCTTCAATGCCTTTGCCATTTGCTCATCAAACACTGCTTTCTTCATGTGTGAACCCATCTGCTCCACACACCATTTCATCATTTCTCTATTTTCTTTCCTTCAAGAGACCCATTTGGCTAGAATATCGATCGAAAACTGTTGTATACAAGTTAATTACCTGAGTAACTAGGGCGTACAACGGGAGAGTGATGTAGCTGCATAAGATTAAAGCTCCTAGGCTGCACATACATACACACATTCTCACATTTTTTAATTACTTTTTCCTCCCTAATAATAATTAGAAACATAAGTAAGATTTTTGAATAAGCTTTTTACCATAGAAAGAGTTTGATGACTACAAGATTGAAATCTTTATGGAAGCATGATTTTAATCCAAAAGAATACTGCAAATGCCAAATATTTATATGTTACTAAGTAATAATATTCCAAAATAATGAACCTAAGAAGAGATGTTTCTTTGTTTTTTTACCCATATCCAGAAGAAGTGTGTTATCTGGAAAGCATTCTGCATAACACAGAGGAGATAAATTACCAGTTAGAGAGAAACATTATTAGAAGAAGACAGAATCTACAAAAACATGTTAGTTCAAGATGAAATCAAGAAGAAGATGTTTTCAGAGTGTTATTACCTGAAACAAGGCAAAGTGGATAAGATGAAGAAGCAATTGAGGACAATCGAACCAAAAGTATTGATCTGAACCTTGCACTAGAGGCATCCCTTGAACTATTGCATGTGTCTCTACGATTTCTAGCGCCATTGTTGCCATAATCGCTTGAAGCTTTGTGCCAACAGCTAGGATTATCTGCAAAAATACTTCTTGTTCATCAAGAAACTTCCAAAACGCTGTGTATATAAGAGAGAGATAGATTGTCTTACGAGCAGGGGAGGTATCGATGCCCAAAACAATGTTCTCCAGCCTGGGAGTTGAATAGAAATATCTCAGTATATTAATTGAATTTGAGATTAAGGATAGATATTTAACTCACCATTAACATTAAACAGCAAGAAGATCACAAATGATGCCCAAAGAACTGGACTGCAGAGCAAACAATATGTTAAAAACCGTTATATAAGGTTCAGAGATATGTCATTTGCATTTGATTATTTGATTGTGTTGTAACCTTATTCCAACTACCAACTTGAAATCATCCTCGAGAGATCTTTTGATATATCTCTGGAAGTTGAACTTTCTTCCCGGGGCTAAATGGGCCTGAATCAGAACACTATTAGAATCACATATCAAGATTGTGAGAGAAGGAAATGGAAAGATGCAAGATTATAAAACTCACAGAGATGAATCCGTGGCGCAGAGTCAAGTAGTCGGTTCTTTCCACGGATACAAAGAACTGCCTAAAGAAGCATCCCTGTAACCAAAGAGCATAGAATAAATCAATTCAAGAACGTTTTGATGCATTTTGGAAGAGATGAAGAAGGAGAGAAATGGTTTCTTTACGACGTAAAAGAAGAAAGGAATTGTTGTCCAGAAACTTGTATGTTCTCTCACAAAAGAAGTCTCATGAGTGAGCCTAAGTCTTGAATGATCTGAACCACAAAGAAAAGTGAGTATTTAAAAGAATAAAACTTGAGGGCTTAAAAACAGAATCTGATGAACAAAGTACCAATAGAAAACTCATAGTCATGAGATAATGTCTCTTGCTCCCACTTTTTCCATCCACGTATCTGCCAACACAAAATGAAGCATTTATTCACTATATCAAACACAGTTTTAATCAAAACTAGAATTTATGGTACCTTGAGCCTGCTAAGCATCATAGTGATTAAACTATAGAGGACATGAAAAACCGCCAAGAAGAACAACAAGATGTGAAGTTGGTGCAAGCCTTTCAATGTTATAAGTGGCTCAGATCCTTGTTTGCAATTCACAGATATATCACCAGCAGCCAAAAGATGTCTGCTAAGAGATGGAGCAAGTTTCTGGAAAAGCTCTGTGTCTTCAGATGAACAAGGTAACATAGAGAGAGCAGCCTTTCGAGAAACACAGATCTTGAGAATATATGTTTCTCCAAAAGTGAGTAATAAAGAAATGAATCCAAGGATCATCAGCTCTGTAGAATCAATCACCATTTCAAAAACCAAATAAAAAAGCTTTTAAGACAATCAAGGCTATATATGTTTACTTTACCAGCTTTAATTTTCTCTAAGGCTTCAAGGAGAGAGTTTTTATGCTTCTTCCATAGCCACTGAGAAGAAACAATTAAAGATGTTTCAGACATTGAATATTTTGAACAACAACACTTGTAAGAAAAGGAAGAAGAAGAAGAAGAAAGCAGACGTCAGCGAGTCTTTGAAGACCCTTTTCAAGGAGATGGGAAATTAGGATGAGGAAGGTGCAGACTACGGCGACCGCCCAAGTGGGCGTCTGAGAGAGCTGTTTCCCGCCAGAGGGAGCTCCGGTAGCTGTAGCTCCGCCGTGGAACACCAAAAAACATAACAACGATCTTCGACACCTGCTTCTTTTGATCATGAGTGAAGGAAGGCAGAGGTAGGAAACAAAGAAGATACTAACGTAGAGAGAATCAAACTTATGTTAGTGTTTCTTTAATTACTAAGTAAGTGTATAACGTAAGTTATAGTGTTAGATAAAGAATTTGGTTTTCGTCTGACTTATGAGATGAAAGATTCATTAAAGCCACTGGTATAGTAGTCGAGTGTTGACAAAAATGAAAAGAAAAATGTAGTTCAGTTTTGTAACTCATCTCATTTAATCAATGGAAGTTACATTAGCAAAATTAATTACATATTAAGACATTTGACTACTACATAACTGCTAATGGTACATGTTTTTGATTATTTGGAAAATATTGAAATATTGATAGTGGTTAAGATGTAACCAATGTTTCATAATTCTCTTGAGCTCTAGAAACTCCAATCCATTGCTTCAATTTAAATCGTGATTCCACAATCAAGATAAATATAAAAGTCCTCTCACCTGAGGAACAAATCTTAAAAGACCATGAATTTGGTGGAAGCTGTGACAACTAAAGAGTTTACAACTTGGCACAAAATCCAACTGCAAATAACAAAATTCTATTCAGATTTGTCTTTATGAGATTAATCTGATTCTTTATTGGTTTTAAAAAATGACAAAGCAAATAAGGGGAGAGAGAGCAATTTATATTGAATGGATCCTTCTCCTACAGCTTCTCTAATCACTCTTACCCTCCTGAGATCCAATCTCTTGTAAGTAATGCTCTGCGTCCAAAGCCGCCATGCACCCTGCACCATCCATAAAATTGTTTATGAAAGTTGAATTTTTGATTCATGAAACCAAAAAAAAGATGAGAAACATCTAGAAAGGTTTTGTAAAATGGGTTTGACGTAAACACGCAATCATTTTAGACTGGCGAGTACAATCTGATTTGAGCTTAGTCATCAGCAGTTTTCAAAGACCACTACTAGTCAGTTTTTTCTTTAGCAAGAGAACATTTAGATAGCAGACCTCACGAACGATACATGAAATAGCTAAATATGTTGGCTTTTTCTTGTAACAAGAGAACATTTAGGTAACAGATCTTATAATGATACATGACACAGTTTAATTTCCTTTGGGCTATCAAGACTCCTAGTTAGTAATGACCAATACTAGTCTTTTAAAGCGTATCAGAATGACCAACACATATCCAACAAAAGCATGCCTCAACTACTTTGTTAAGTGAATCACAAGATATACAAAACAAGGGACTTGTAGAACATAAAAGGGGTCAATCATAAGAAGCTAATGGCTTTCAAAGACCTGACTCCTCTTGAACAGATCAATCAAACATATGACCACTCTATAGCAAACACAAATCCAACAAAAGCATGCCTCAACAACTTTGTTAAGCAAATCAAATGATATACAAAGCCAGCCACTTAAAGAACATGAAAGGGCTTCATCATTAAAAGCTAACAACTTTCAAAACCCCGGCTACTTTTGAACAGATCAATCAAAAAATTATCCTAAACCAATAAACAATTGTTCACTTAACGATATACCTAATGGTCCCTAATAGAATTATGCTATTACGAAACAAGCACATATCAGATACTACATGGTACGATTTAAGCATGGTTTCAAAGAGCTAACTCATTGTGCAGAAATGAAAAAGACTAAGTAGAGAGAACGAACCAGTTCCTGCAGCAGTGATAGCCTGTCTATACTTCTTGTCTTGAACATCTCCAGCAGCAAATACACCAACCACACTCGTCTTAGTAGTACCAGGCTTAGTCACAACATAACCATCTTCATCAAGCTCAAGCTGCCCATCCAAAAACTTCGTAGCTGGCTCATGACCAATAGCAAAGAACAATCCAGACACCTTCAAATCAGAAACCACTCCAGTAACAACATTCTTCACCTTCAATCCTCCAAGAACACCTTTGCCATTATCATCTCCATAAGCCTCCACCACTGCAGAGTTCCAAATCACTTCAATCTTAGGGTTAGACAAAGCTCTCTGCTGCATAATCTTAGACGCCCTAAATGTATCCCTTCTATGGATTATATAAACCTTAGATCCATACTTAGTCAGAAAATTCGCTTCCTCCATAGCCGAATCACCACCACCAATAACAACCAAAGGCTTATTCCTAAAAATCGGAGCAGCTCCGTCGCAAACAGCACAAGCGGAGATACCACGATTCCAAAAACCACCGTTACCTTCACCAGATCCAGTGAAGCTAAGACGTTTAGCAACAGCTCCAGTAGAAATGATTACAGAATCAGCGAGAACAGTTCTCGAATCAGTGAATAGCTTAAACGGTTTCGATGAGAAATCAACTTTGTTAACCGTTTCAGTGAAGATCTTAGTACCGAATCTCTCCGATTGTTTTCTGAATTTCTCAACGATCTCAGCACCGAGGATACCTTCAGGGAACCCAGGGAAGTTCTCGACGTCGGTGGTTGTTGTTAATTGACCGCCGGGAGCGATATCGTTAGCCATCCATCCTTCGAAGAGAAGAGGCTTAAGCTCCGCTCTAGATGCATAGATCGCCGCCGTGTGTGCTGCTGGACCACTTCCGACGATGCAAACCTTGGTTTTGTGAGTTTCCATTTCGACGGCGGCGGAGGAGGAGGAGGAGGAAGAAAACGCGGTGGCTAGAGACGGCGGATTTGAGAGAGCAGATCCAAGTAAGAAACCTCCAGCTGTGCTTAATAAAGACTTTATTATGAATCTTGACTGGCTCATTGAGATCCAACACATGTTACACATTAATTTGAAATATAGACCACTTTATTTCTCTTTTAAATTATTAATAATATTTTATGAATTAAGCCCATATTGCAAATTATTATTGGACCATTATTATATGCAGGGATTTGGAATATTAATAGCTTTTCTTTGTTGTTAAAGATTGGAATTTTAATAGTTACAAGACTCTTTTTTTAACACTGTTTATTGATATTTCACAAGAAAGCGAGAAACATTACACGCCCACACTAAAAGGCAAGACGAAAGACCCAAGAAACAGGCACGGCTATAAACTTATACAAAACCAGCAAAACTCAATTACAGACTATAGTTAAAGATAAAAAAACATAAGACCATTATTGGTTCTAACTGAAAAACATAAAATAAGTGGACTGATAAAACAAAGAAACAAGTCCAGTAGGACTGCAGCAAAGCACATAAAACATAAAGGCACGAAGTGCCCGAAGAAAAATCTCAAACCAAAAGCTTAGATTCCTCTGTGATGATTTCTTGAAGCCACATTGGCCCCTCCCGTGCAATGTAAGATTGGTACCGATGATCTCTCGTGACACTTGTTGCGATTTCTTTAGCCACCCGATTACATTCATTTGCAGCTATAACTACAACTGAAAACTCAAAGACATCCAAGAATCTTCTAATGTCTGAAATCAAGTGTCGAAAGAGAGGGTATCTATGTGATATCGTACTGCTTCCACAACTTTTTGGGATGATATCTCAAAGATGATCTTGTTTTGTCTAAGGTTACTTAAGCTTTCTACTGCCCAGAGTAGGCTCAAGAGATCTGCTTCAAAACCTGTTGTAATTTTCGAATATGAACGACGACTATGGAACAAAGGTTTACCTGAATGATCACGAAGATCCCAAGCGGCCCCACAGTTCATCTCTTGTTTAATCCAAGAGCATCCAATGTTACACTTCCCAAAACTAAACATCGGGCATCTCCAAGTATGATGGGTATGAGAAGCTGTGAGGAAGGATTTATTTGTTGTAGTTGCATCTGATTTGTTGGCAGCCATCCACGTCTCTGCATCCTCACGGGCTTTTACCATAATACTGTTAGCATTATAGCTCTTCCCTTCAAACACAAACGAGTTTCTAGACTTCCATATATGCCACAAAAGCCAAGGAAAAACTTGTGTTTTATTGGTGAGACTGTTACGTCTTCCATCATGGTTAAGAAGGTGAAAAAGGTTTAGAAAAACTGAGTTCTTAGAGAAACCCATCCGCGGGCCAGGGATATTAGAGAGGTCCCAAGATTGTTTTGCCACAGGACAGTGGAAGAGAACATGACATATGGTTTCAGTTTCCTTTCCACAAATTTTACAAGTTAGGCCAATGTGGATACCTCTCGATTGCAATCTGTCTGAAACTGCTAATGCTCCTGCTAGAGCCTTCCACATGAAATGTCGTATCTTAGGCATGGTTTGGACTTTCCATAACTGTGACCATAAATTCTTCTCAATTGGTGGAAGAGGAGTGACTGGAAAATCTTGATTCTCTGGAAGTGCTTCTAATAGTTTATAACCACTTTGAGAATTGTATAGACCATTCTTTGAGAAGCTCCAAACGTATGTATCATGGAGGTCTGTTGACACTCTCAGAGAGAGAATATAGTCAGCATCTTTCTGAATAAACAAATGTCTCACTCTATCTTCGTCCCATTGTCCCATATTACGATCCAACAGATCTGATACTCTTAGCATAACGTCCCTATTCCGTTGCAAGCTTATCGGCGGTCTCGGAGAGTCATTAGGGATCCAATTTTCTATCCATACCCATGTATTCTGTCCATTTCCTATAGACTTCCTCAAGCCTCTTTTCAGTAACTCTCGACCATGGATTATGCTTCTCCACCCATACGATGGTCTGGTGCCTACTCCACAATCCAAGAAGGGTTTGTTTTTAAAATAACGGCTCTTTAGGATCCTCGCTAGAAGCGATTGCGGCTGGTCCAAAAGTCTCCAAGCTTGTTTGCATAAAAGTGCTTGATTGAATCTGAAAATATCATGAAATCCCAGGCCTCCGTCTTCTTTTTTCCTGCATAGTTTCTTCCAAGCTACCCAAGGTATTTTATTTCGATCATTTCCACTGCTCCACCAGAATTCTGTCATGACACTTGTGAGCTTTTTGCACAGATCTTGCGGTAATTGAAAGCATGACATTGCATATACAGGTAGTGCCAAGGCTATCGATTTTAACAGTACTTCTTTACCACCTTGTGATAAGGATTTCGCAAACCATCCATGAAGACGGGATTGAAGCTTCTCTTGAATTTAAGAGTTTCCTTTTGGATCCATTGAAACACTCAGGAAGTCCCAAATATGATCCTTCTCCCCCCTCTTTTTCAATTCCAAGAATCCTTTTAACCACCGGTTTTATTACCTCCTCTACCTTAGACCCGAAAATAATAGAAGACTTAGAGTTGTTGATGACTTGACCAGAGGCTTCCCCATACAGTTTCAAACATTGCATGATCTCTGATCCCTCATTCGCTGAGGCTTTGCAAAGGAGAAGACTATCATCGACGAAAAGAAGATGGTGAATTGACGGGCCAGAATCAACAAACTTTATTCTGTTTAGCCTACCACTTGCTTCAGCCTTATTTAGCACATTCACTAAAGCTTCTGCACATAGAATAAACAAAAACGAAGATAGAGGATCTCCTTGTCGAAGGCCGCGTTCCGGCTTAATATATCCATGAGATTTCTCATTTAACAAGACCGTGTAAGTAACTGATCTAATGCAGTAACTAATCCACTTTATCCATCGATGATCAAATCCCATTTTCTCCATTAGTCTCTCCAGAAAGCACCATTCAACTCTGTCGTATGCTTTGGACATATGAGTCTTAATTGCCATAAACTCCTTAGAAACTGCATCATTAGTCCGCAAAGCATGTATCAATTCATGAGCGATGATGATATTATCAGTAATTACACGCCCTGATACAAAAGCTCCCTGTGTATCTGATATGATCAAAGGAAGAATCTTCTTAAGCCTCTCACACATGATCTTGGAGATAATCTTGTAATGCACTGAGCATAAACTTATAGGCCGCATCTCTGACATTCTTGATGGGTTCTTCACTTTCGGTATTAAACATAATTGGGTATAATTCCATTCTATTGGAAAGGAGAAGGAGCTAAAGAATTTTTGGATTTCTGCCGTTATACTTGGCCCCACTATACTCCAAAAATGCTGATAGAAATCACTGGTTAAGCCATCTGCTCCTGGGGCTCTACTTCCTTTAATGTTAAAGACTGCTAGTTTTATCTCCGTCTCTAAAACTGGAGCTGTTAACGCTTCATTCATAGATGGTGTTATCTTCGCTTCAAAGCCTTCAAGAAGGGAATCAAAATCTTGAGGTTTTGAGCTGCTGAATAGCTCTCGGAAATAGTCTACGGCGATCTGTCCTTTGGATCCTTCTGAAAACTGCTCATGTCCCTTTTCATCCACAAGCATCAATATCCTATTTTTTACTTTTCTACTCTTCACACAATTATGAAAATAACGGGTGTTTCTGTCACCTGAATCAAGCCACTGTTCTCTGCTACAATGTTTCCAGAACATCTCTTCCTCCTTATAAGCCATAGCTAACTCATTCTTTGTTCTCTGCATTACGTTGGGGTCTGGATACATTTTAGAAACTTCCTTCTCAAGAGTCTCTTTTAACTTCACCATCCTCATCTCAGAGTTGGTATTTGATGATCTTTTCCAACGAGATAATTCTGATCTACATCTTCCTATACGCTCTGCCAAAGAGATCTCCATATCTTGTTGTCCACCACACCATCCTTTTTTCACTACATCAACAATTCCTGGTTTCGATAACCACCGCTTATCAAAACAAAACCTTCCTTTGGCATTAACACTTTCCTCCAAAGCAAAGGTAATCAAAATTGGTCGATGATCGGATGCCCACATATCGAGATATTCCATATGAGCTCTTGGGAATAGTTGAAACCATTCGTCATTACCGAAACTCCGGTCAAGACGACATTGAATCCATATTTTATCTCGCCATCCTGCCCATGAAAGGCAATTTCCAGAGCTTCTTATCTCTGCCAATTTGCAATTCCCAGCCATATTCCGAAAATCCCAGAAAGATGATTCATTGCGGAGAGGTCCTCCCATTTTTTCGGTATTGGTCATCAATTCATTGAAATCACCAAGCACTACCCAAGCTTCATTTCTACCAATGCCAATTCCAGAGAGTTGTTCCCATACCAAATGCCTAAGAGCTTTCACCGGATCGCCATAGACACAAGTGAGGAAAAACATCATTGACCCTATCTTCACTTTCAGGTCAATTATGCGATCATTAGCACTCAACACTTCAACCTTGTAACAATTCTTCCAAAACACCGCTAAACCACCACTCAAGCCCAGTGGTTCTCTTGTAATCTAGTAACATACTTCCTTTTTTGTTTAGTTTCCATGAGAAATAAAATCACTTTGAATATTAAAACAGTGGGTTACATTTTATTACAAGCCAAAATGATTCTTGCAAATTTGACACATAAGATAGAAGGCTGAATTAATTATTTAGTCTAAAATTTAAAGTAAAATTAGAAAAATATTCTAGATTTCTTAAAATTTACCACATTTTTTAAAAAAATTGACCTAAACTTTAAATCCGAGAGAGTAAATTAAACCATAAAATTTTGAAATAGTAAACTCTAAATCCTAGATAGTAATTAACTGAGAAGAATAAACCCTATCCGGCTATCCCTAACACCTAAACAAAACAAAAAACAAAAAACAAAAAAAAAGCCTAATTTTGTTTTTTCTTATTACCACAAATTGAGATGCAATCTAGAGCTAACATGTAAGATAATATAAAAAAATCACTACCACACAAATCAAATCACACTGATAAACAGTATTAAAAAAAAAGGTTGTAGATTTGTGTGTTCTTAATAAAAAGGTTTAAAAGATGTTGGTGCTACAACAAATCAATAGTGATGACACTTAGAAGAAGAATCTAATCAAAGAGAGGAGAGACCATAGAAACTAGATGACCTAATTAAGGATTCCTAAAGGCTGCTCTTCTCAGCTTGTGTTTATGCTCTCATAATTTACAGACAAAATACTCTCAACAACTACTTCTAACAATCTTCTCTCTTTCAGATCTTCAAAAGGCTTTTGTTAAACTGTAAATGTTTCTAATCCAATTGCTCGAGAGGCACACGGACGAATAACTGCCCGTTTAGGGTTACCACAGCCGATGTGTGATGCGGATCGATTCTCGTCGGCAAACTTACCACCTGCAGTTCCAATGGGGAGGTTTGAAAATGTCATTAAACATTCTATGTATAAGCTGAAAAATCACGTAACGAGCATTTACCTTTTTGAAAGGAGTCGCTCCCCAGGGATTCATAGGGTTCTCGGGTTCGCCACTTATTACCAACCGCCCAGCCGGATCTGACTGGACTCGGACCTGTATTATTTGTTGCCAAGACAAAAACTGAGTGCTAAACTCAATCTTAGGATCCATATGTAAACAAAACGTGTAGTTTCAAAATTGAGAGCTAACCTCTTCACGGACTAGTCCTGGGACTAATGCATACACCTCAAAGCAATCTTGCTGCAGATAGTGGAGGAGATTATTAAAACATGTAAAACCAGAAAGTGATTTCTCAGGTTTTTAAGGAAGTAACGATTGATTTTACCGTCCTCTGTACGTTAATCTTCACCCAGTCAGCTGGTGGTCCAACATCAACAACTGTAACATCCAACCTAGGAAAAACAACAACTGGAATCAGAATTCAAACGTGAATTATCACCCATCGAAAACCAGACCACAAAGCTAAAAACCGTACATAGGTTTAGATACTTGGATGGCATTTTTTGCACCATGTTCAGCAGGCCTCTTGCGTTTGAGCAAACCTGATGACATTGCGAGATGTAAGTAATATAACTCATTTCAAATTCAAAAATAACAATGAGAACAACCACTTCTTCATCAAACAGAACTCATACCAGGGGTGGTTCCAATCTGTTTTTCGCGCTTTTGATGAATAACTAAGTTCTTATCCTACCAATTACAAAACAGCATGTTCGTTCAGATTATGAGATATAGAGTGTATGTTTGACAAAAAAAAACAAAGAGATATAGAGTGAATGTAAAATGAAAAATATAACAAGATTCTAGCGGACCTTGATTGCAGAGTCACTAACTTCACCGTTACCATTAAGACGCTGTGAATGCCAACCTTGCATAGCACGTGCTGCTGCATCTCTCCTAGCCCTCCCTGATCCAGACGCCTAGTGTAGAAACAAGGCAGCGGGTTAAGTTAAAACACCGACATTAATCATAAGAAGAAGATCAAACAAAACCTACAGATGCATGATATAATTTTCTCAATTTTACCTGATTATCAATGTTCATTGGTTCTAGTTCCAACGGAAGGGGTATCTGAAGTTCACCTCCACTAACTTTATGCCGCTCATATTCAAGAAGAGCCTGAAAAATGAAGAAACTATAATGTTACTGTATCTAAAGGAAAACATATCTCAAGATGATTCACAGTTGTTCTCTGTTCAATCATTTAAATTATTTCTCAGAAGGATTGATGCATAGAGTCCCAGTCCCATGCCAGTGTATACAAAAGTCACATACACGAATCAAAAGCAGAGAGTGGAAAAGGTGGTGAATATTATCTCACCTTTTCGTAGAAACCTCGGAAAGTCCATGATACTGTTGTACATGTCCTGAACAAACAATTGACCAATTAGAGGGTAATTCTTGAAAATATACACATGATTTCCAAAATTTCTAAGACAAACCACTAATAAGAAAAGCATTCTTCTTACTTTGGGGGCCTGAAAGATTCTCCCACTTGCCGCCATAATTTGCTTCCAGTAACCTATCCAGTATAAAAGCATATATTAATCATAGAGAATCACATATATTAATCATAGAGAATCACCAAAAGCACCACTGCTAGATCATGAACAACAGTCTGCATGCAAATAAGCCAGGATGGAAGAAAAGATGAAAAGATGCTGTGATATTCATCCGACGTATTCACAGTGACCCGTACCTTGTCATATCCGCCCAATCTAGTTACAGCTCTCCATAACCTTGTGCCAAAGAAATTGATTAGATATCAGCTCCTGCTGAAATTTTTACAATGTATAACACACTAAAGTGACCAAATAATGATGGGTAGCAAGCTTACTTGAGGCAGTTCAGTCCCTCCCCATAAAATTTTGGAGGTTTGAAGTCCATGTTTCGCTCTCTAAAAAAGCTATCCAGTTCTTTCATAAAAGCAGATTGGTCCTCTTCCGTTCCAGATTCATTACCGTCAGACGCATCATCCAAGAGGAAAGAGCGCTTTGCGCGCATGGTCCCATCAAAGCCAGGTGGTGTCCGAACTATTTTATGGACTCCATTGTTCAAATCTCCACTACCCCGCGCTTCAGACTTTATAATAGAAGAAGCAACACAAGGAGGACCGTGTTCACGTCTCACTGGTGCACTTTCATTATTTGCATCATTTAGCACAAGTGCACTAGAATTATCTTGCTTTTCAGTATTAGCCTCAACATTGGCATCCTTGTTATTAGTAGAGTCAACAGTAATATCAGCAACCAATTTAGAATCTGGAACATCAAGTTTCATGTCTTCCGTAGGTTCAGCATCAACTGTAGTCATTCCTTCATCATGATCAGAGGAAGTTTGGGTAGCGGGCAAGACAGATAACCCTTTGTCACTGTCGCCTGAAACTCCAACTGCCAACACATCAGAGTTTTTGTCATTGTCTGTCAAATTTTCTGTGGCAGGCATGTCTAGTTCTTTTTCTACGTTCATTGAGGTTTCTGAGAGAGGCTCAGATGGCTTATCCTCCAGTTCTGATATGGTCTCAGAACCAGGCACCTCTAGCCCTTTGTCAAGCTCTGTTATGGTCCCACGATCATGATCGTCTGGTCCACTTCCATCGCCAGTCAAATTCATATTGTTAGCCTCACCCTCATCCATACTGTCATTGTTCTCCTCAACAACTTTGGTATCAGAATTCGCTGGAAATTCCTCTTGGTCTCCTGAGGATATGATCTCATGTTCTTCTGCAGCTTGGTCCTGCTCCATGACAGTATTAGTATGATGATGCAATGTTCCTTTATCTTCCGAGTGTTTGTTATCAGGATTGACTGGAAATTCGTCATGGTCTCCTGAGGCTATCATGTCATGTTCTTCTGCAGCTTTTTCCTGCTCCATCACAATATCAGCATGATGATGCGGTGATCCTGTTTCCTCCTCCGAGAGTTTGAAGTCAGGTACTTTGGCCGTTTCTTCATGGACTACTGCAGTATATCTGTCAACCTTGACAGCATCTCCGTCATCTTTCAAGATATCCGAACTTAATTCGCTAGACCCTGTGTTCTGTTCTACAGTGTCTTCCACAATAGGGTTGATTAACCCTTCGTCAGTGTCTAAAGCTACCGAAGGAGAAGGGCTTGGATGCGGGCTTGTTTCTAATTGGGAATTCTTCTCATCAAGGGTTTCCTCATCAATCTTCGGCAGATCATCGGCATTGGTCCCCCCCTCAAGGGAAGCAAGAGAAGTACCTTCTTCAATGACCATGGGACATGGAGAATCTTCATGTTCCCTGCCGGGAGCTTCCTCTCCTACTGTCTCTCCTGGACTCTCATTCTCCGTTTCCTTTACATCATCCTGCCTTTGCTCTCCACTTTCAAATTCCTGAACAGTGCCCTGTTCAACTCTCTCACTCTCCATTTCCGTTAAATTCTCCATCGTTGATTCCATTTCCGTCAAATTCTCAATTGTTGATTCCATTTAAACAGCATTCCTATACAAATTCACGCATACAAGAAATAAAATTAGGAATTGCAGAAAATAAAAAAAATAACCACAGGTTTATTGAAGCTCACAACTTAGACAAACCACAAAACAAAAAAGCATGTGATAAACATAGTACAAATAAAATGGGAAGGAGAACAGCTTAAAGGTTGTCACTTGTGAGAGATCTTTTCAAGAAATCTCCAAGATAGGTAGTTCTTTCTTAGGGTTTAGTTTTGTGTTCTAGATTGTAATAGATCAATAAAACTTGATTACCAACTAACTTACACCAGACTCAAACAACCACAACACACACACACAAATGAAAGCAAAAACCTTTTTATTTGTGAAAGAATCCAGTAAAAAAGATTAACACTTTATCTCATGTTCTTTAAACCCAGAAGCTCCTTTCGACCAAATCAGAAACCCATTTCTTGAAATTCATTAACAGTACAAGCAAAAAGCCTAATAATTCCTTCCTACAAAAACTCCACGAAGGTGAATAAGAGACATTGAAATTGAGATTGAAATTCTTTCTATTACACAGCCAATTCAAGATTTCTAAACAGAAGAATACGATTTACAAACGAAGTAACAAAGTCGCAAATTCCGGATTCAATTTAAAACTTAAAAAAAAAAAAAGCAAACAGATTCCAAATTCCAATAAAAACCAAACGGCGTTGAAAGCGAAAACGCACCTTGGTGAAGAAGAAGAAGAAGAAGTGGAAAAGGAGACGACAAAGGGGGATGAGTTTTTTGTCCGAGCTCTCCTTGGGCAGTGACTGAAACACACTCTTTGCTCTTTCGTCGTCCTCAAAATTGTACCCAGCGATCGAATTGAAGAAATGAAATCGAGGGTTTGCAATTTGAACCGGGTTTCCTTAGGTTTTTGGGCTCACGGGCTTTTTGACCTAATCTTGGCCCGATCTACTCACTATTTCATTTTCACGCGTATCAGATTTTGTCGGAAGGAATTTTGAATTTTCCTTTATTTATTTTTTTGGTTTAAGAATAATAATATTGAAACAATTTTTTTTTTTTGTCATCGATATTGAAACATTCTTTTGGGGAAAATGGTATTATTTTTCCAAATAATGCCTTTTTTTTTTTTTTGTAAAATCGTTTTATTGTTAAAACTACTGTATCTTTCAAAATACCCATTTTTATAGAGTTTTTTTGTGTGTGTACACATTAGTTAGTACATTATTACTAATAGTCTAATGTATCAAAGTGTAAATTCTGTTAAGTGTGCATATGTGACACTGCACACCAAAAAAAAAATGTTGAAATTTTTTTTGAAAGAATTTTCCGAATAATAATGAACTTTTTGGAGGCTTTTTTTATTTGTACATTTTTTTCTTTTGTTAACCAGAAGAATTCCAGGCCGAAACCTAAACTAATCTTTGGGGTCTTTAGATAGATAAGTTTTGAGGTGCAAGATAAATGTTGTATATCCATTTCTAAAATCAAAATTTTGTTGATGATTTTACTATTGTTAAATTGAAGTAACAATGTTCGTTACTTTGTTTCAAGTATGAGATTTTCTTGTAATGTATTTTTAATAATACTTTCAAGTTCAAGAGAAAAAAAAGTAAGTGTAATAAGAGAGAAACTTGGACCTTCAATCCTCAGAAGAGACAACAACAAAAAATTTGCTAACTCTTTTCATTTGCTAGCATGATTAAATTATAACGTTGTACTTCTTTTTTCGTTAACCATGGAAATTTTAGACCGAAATCCTGATTAATCCTCAGAGTCCACAGAAAACCGGGTTTTTTTTTTGCTATAACAGCGTCTACGGGTGAGAAAGTTCCAAGATGCAAGATATAATGTTGTATATACATTATTACATTTCATAAAATTAAGATGTCTTTTTTTTTTCTTTTTAATTTGTGTTGAAAATTTTACTACCGTAAATTTGAAAAAGTAACAATGTTTGTTTAAATTTTGAGATTTTCTTGTAAAAAAAAAAAGTAAGGGTAAGAGGAGAAACTTGGACCTTTAATCATCTCTGTCGTTCTTGAATTCGCTTTTGCATTTTATAGTTCCACTATTATTCTATCTACTTCGCATTCTGCATTATTTATGTCGACATCTCATCTATCAATATCATTATCCTCTATAGGCTTCTTACTTTTCATTCTATCCCTTCTCTAATATGTTTAAGGTTATGTTTTGTGATCGCTAAACTAATCCATGTGACACATAAAGAAGGAAAATAAAAAAGACCTCAAGAGCCAAAAGAGAACCAATTCAAGAAGAAAATAATTTTCATTACAAAACCATAATAAACATCCATTTTCTCCATCTTTTTCTTTTTCAGATTTAATGATGAAAAACACCCACAGAAGACAAGGTTGCAATCAGACTCTGTGACACTATTACAGGACACAGAAGAAACATATCCTTCAAGAGTCAAAGCAGCTCAGAGGAAAGCGTCCTTCTCAAGTAGTTTCACCACATCTAGCTGATTGTTTAGCTTGGCCACATCAATGGGATTTTTACTGTCCATGTTTTGTAGAGTTCTGCAAACACACAATGAAACAACACTTTTAAGAGTCATATAGAACCATTATCAAGTTGTTTGGAAATCAAATTTGTGTTTTTTGTTGTTGCAAACTTACACTGCAGCACCATTCTCTAGGAGAAGGCTTACACACTCTTTCCTTCCATAACCAGCAGCATAATGCAATGGTGTGTTCTTGTTTTTGTCAATCGCATTTACATTTGCTCCAGCATCCAGAAGAACTTGAGCACATTTCACCTACATACAAACTCAACCAAGGTCAGTTGGATTCAAACCTGCGATTAAGCTTTTATAACAACTTCTAATCGCATATAGATTAATGGTAATTGTCAACTTCCTTCGTAAAGAATGCTATAGATAATTGTGTAATCATCTACTAAGTGAAGCCAAAGCTACTAATCCACCAAGTGCATGATAGTAAATAGTGGTAGTATAAATTGTTTTCCATGATTCTGTGATAGTTACATTTTGAAATGTTGTTGTTGTTACGTTTTGTTGTTAAGACATTGACATACCTCGCCATATCCACATGCAAAATGCAATGCAGTCCTTCCCTCGGAGTCTTCTTCATCTTTGTTACCGCCAGATGCCAAGGCAACTTTCAAACCCTGATTGGTTCAGGAAATCAATGCACAATGAGTTTAAAAGCTAACCTCGATCAATGATCCCAACTTCACTATAAAATTCAGACCATCAAAAACATGAGAGATTAACAGTGTACGAATCAGTATACCTCGACATCACCGAGGCTAGCGGTCTGGTGAACAATAGACTCCTCCTCTTCCCCTTCTTCGGCCTCCTCAGGTTCAGCTGCAACACTCTGGTCTGCTCCAACAGCTATACCCATTGCTTCACCTAGCTTTGCCAACACATCTTTATCATTCCAGTACCTAACACGAGTAATCAATTCTTAGCCATAAACAAAAGTAAACCTAATAATTAATAGCAAATGATGGCATACTTCATCATAGCAGAAGGACCACCAGCATCAATCTCAGCTAGTATAGGTTTCAATTCCGGATCTTCTTTCATTTGCGCCATACGCTCCGCAAACTGCTCTGTTGCTGCAGGGTTACCAAGAGCCTCCAAAAAGGGAGACATTTGTGGATCCTATAAACCAAACAGAGATTCAAATGCCATGATCACACCTCAAGTGTTGATTAAGAACAATAACAAGAAGATCCGAAAGAGCTTGTATTTTAGGTACCTGCACCAAAGCATTACCAAGACGCTCGGCCATTGTCCTAAACTCAGGATTCTCCATAACCTGCTGCATTGTCTGCATATACTGTTGTGGATCAAAGTTAGGTAGACCTCCTTCATGCGAAGCAGTTGGTACAGATCTCTGAAGCTGCTCAGCTAACTGGTTAAAAGCAGGATCTTTAGCTATTTGCTCAGCTAAGTCCTTGATACTTGGATCCTGATTAAACAAAACAAACCCATCAACACAAGAAGAAAAAAATCCAACCTTTGACTATTTCAATTATCATAAACCCACAAAAGAGGGAACTTACATTGAGAATACCAGCCATGCCGGAGAAATCAAAAGCATTGAAATCAAGCCCAGGATCAGTCGGTGATGGTGAAGGTGAAGCTCCTGAGGCTGATTCTGGTTTAGGACTCTTACTCTCTTCCTTAGTATCGTTTTTCTCATCTGTTGAAAACATGAAAACAATTTCTCTATATAACTTGAAGAAACAACCAAATCGAATCTAAAATTACAAAGATTAAATCGAGATTAACACAAATACCTGGAGGAAGAAGAGTTGTTTTCTCTGAACTTGAAGCCATTGGATATGACTAAAACCCTAAAAAAGCCAGAAAAAAGGTACAGAGATTTATTCAGAAATCGAATCAAAGAAGATCTCTCAGATTGGAATTGAAACATGATCAGAAAAATCCAAAGTATGGTGAAGACGATACCTATCGAAACTTGAGGAGCTGAAGAAGAACCAAATATATGAAAAGCCCCAAAGGAAAATGTTTTGTGGCAAAGAAGAAAACGGATATTCTTTCCCTCATTTTATTTCAATTAAAAAACTTATATATGGAAAGATGAATTATTATCATTTATAATATCCATTTGGTTAGAAGTTAGAACGTACGAGACGCAATCACGTTTAAGTTTGGGCATACAAATTTAGAGGCCTTAGGCCCAAGCCCATAAGTGTAAACTTTTTTTTTTTGTCGGCCATTAATTTCATTGAAAAGCCCATAAAGATAAAGAACAGAAGGTACACAGAAGACTTATAACGAAATTACGGCCCAGGCCCAAAACTAAATCACATTTTAACAGAAGATAAAGATTAACACAAATATGATTTAGGCGTTGACACGTGTTGAAGACGTGTGCTTCCCATAAGTGTAAATTTAGAGGCCTCCAGTCTCCACCATAAATGATATAACATATTTCATTGTATTCAAAATCCTATTAAGATTATTTTGGTATTCCCCACAATTTCCCTTAGCCTATAAGCCTGATTAGATGTTAACCCGCGGTACACCGCGGACCTATATTTTTACTAAATAAAAAAATTAAAATTTTTAAGATAATCTATAGATATATAGTATACCGCATAACGATATTTTACAACTAAAAATCAAAATTTTAAGTTATATTTGTTTTGTTTAGTGTTTAAGATTGTATAATTATAGTTTGATTATTAATTCTAGGATTTTATCCGTAGTATACCATCCCGTATTAATATTGATCCAAATCCCTCCCACCATATAATCTCATCCCGTGAAATTAAACATCATTTTGTAATTTTCTTTTTAATAATAATTTTATTAAAACATTTCCTAAAGTATTATTTGGCTTTTATATGACTAAATATTTATACGAATAAGATACATGTTATTAAATTACTATCCCAAAGTTTAAAACTAAGTAAGTTTTATTAGTGGGATAAAATTTATACTCATTACTTATATAATTTATTATTTAATCTGAATATAATAAAGTTTTGTTTATTATATAATTGTTTGATAATGCTATATAGTGTTATATATGTGTGTTATAAATGTGTTAAAATAAACCAAAAAGACAAAATTTCGAAAGACAAATTAAATTACTCTAATTGTATAAAAAATAGTCAAATAATGTCTCATGCTTTACCTAAGAAAACAGAAAAAAAAAAAAAAAAAAAAAAAAAAACTCGAAAAAAGAAAACTAATTTATGTTAAAGACGTGTAATTATGTATTGGGCCTTAATTAGGCTTCACTTGTCTTTTCTGTATTTTACCCTTTGGACTTTTAATTGAAATATCTATGAAAAAACAGAAAATGTTGCATTATAAAATAAAATAAAAATCTCTTTTGAGAACCTTCTCGTCTTCTTCAACCGTTCTTATACGTTTCTGATTTTGGAGTTTTTATGTAATCAAGCTACTTTCACACCCAAGAAATGTAAGCTCAATATGATTATTATTGGTTTGAATACAATAAAAAAGCAAACATGAATTTTGTCAAATCAAGTATAATATATGAAAACAGATGGATGATACCTTGTTCACTGTGTCTAGTGCTTTTAGTAAAATGGTGCATTCACTTAATGCACCTTAGGCTAAGCTCTACTAAATAGTCAAACATAAGATCATTAGCCAAAGTGAAAGTGAAAATATAATAAACGTATATAAAACAAAACATATAAATTTTTTGAGTCAGAAATTTTAATAAAGTACTCCAGCAATGGCTTTAGCTGAAGAATCTGCCTATACAAATCAGCAGCTCTACTAAATAGTCACATATAAGGTCGTTAGCAAATTGAAAGAATAATAAACGTACGTATAACACAACCAGAATTAGTCAAATGAGTAATTGCCTGTTTTTGATACAAATTGGTGTCTCTATGTTGGTACACAGAAGTAATTGCCTGTTTTTGATACAAATTACCTGTTTATTTGAAAGAGCATTGTTTAAAAGACAAAGAACATTGTTTAAAAGAAGCCATATAAATCTCATAAAGACAAAGAACAGAAGGTGCACAGAAGACTTATAACGAAATTACGGCCCAGGCCCAAAACTAAATCACATTTTAACAGAAGATAAAGATTAACACAAATATGATTTAGGCGTTGACACGTGTTGAAGACGTGTGCTTCCCATAAGTGTAAATTTAGAGGCCTCCAGTCTCCACCATAAATGATATAACATATTTCATTGTATTCAAAATCCTATTAAGATTATTTTGGTATTCCCCACAATTTCCCTTAGCCTATAAGCCTGATGCTTTGAGAGTCCGAGCTCTTTTACTGTAATAGACAGATTAGCTTTCCTGTTCTTTGGATACCAAGCATCGTCTCCAGGAGCAAAAGCTATCCTTGATTGCCACTTAAGGATTGGGCCTTTACCAAGGGGGTCCTTTCTCCTGGATAACTCTTGGAGCGCAGATAGATGCATTTTCTGAGGAGAGTTCCTCTAATGGCGGATCACGGTGATACAAAATGTGGTTTAGGTTGCCGGAAGTACAAGTTCAGGGACGAACGTTGAAGAAGAAAGAACGAGGCGCAAAGATGTTAGAGTTTTGGGCATACAAGTTTTGAGGCCTCGCGAGGATAATATATCCAATAAATCAGACCAATTATAATTTTGACATGCTCATCTTAATATGTGAAGACATATTATACGCAAAGATCAGTAACAAACTAACAATCACTACTTATAACAACCAAAACGATGAATACTTCTTTCTTCTAGTCAATCAAACAAACACATGACATGACAAACAAAGTGTGATTTAGAAGATAATCTCTCAGAAGATAAGGAAACATTTAATCATTTACGATTGTTTTAAGTGCGTAAGTAAAGATCAGAAAGAGACTCTACTTGGTAGCCTGAGCAATTATATTACTTATGGAACTCGCCTCCTCTTTCGCAGCTTCCACCAATTGATCCTTCAAATATCGTAATACACATCATTAACACAATCCTTAAAGGACTAATCCTTTTATATCAATGGGCATTATTAAGAAACCATACCTGGGCTGATATTATCCTTGCAACTGTTTTCTTGCTCGACTCTTGAAGTTCACCAGCGATCAACAGCTCATCGAGTATATAATACGCCTAGAACAAAACAAGCAGTTTCGAAAATGTCATAGTGAAGTAAATTACAGAGAGTGGAGAGTCATTGATCCTGTAGAGTTGTGTATGTGTACCTTGTGGAAGTTAAAAATCAAATCGAGTTCACACACCTGAAGATCATAGAATAAACAGCTCTTAATCAAAATCTAGATGTTTTGTGAGGTTATCAAAAGAGTGGAGGAACAACTTTTCGATATGCGCTTTACTCACACTGCCAAAGTAACGGTCAAGTATCTCGACGTAGTGATGAATTATCTCCAGTACCTCTAACTCGTTATCCGCCTCATCAATGCACATGCAGAAATACAAGCTTGCATATCTGTACAAATACACAACCATCATGTTTAGAACCCGTGTTTTCTAAGCAGCGCAAGAATATGCTGCGTATACAAACACCGACACAGCGTTTTATACCTTTTGTAGACAACCTTGTATCCTCTCCATTCAATAAAATTGCAGAGCTTGGGACCTCGGTTCAGAATCACACCGCTGAGTTCGCGTATGACCTGTCCAGATCATGTTTCTAAATGTAAGATCAAAGGCATGCAAAGCATAACCCAATTAACTCAATAATACCTAAGCTGTACATACCTTAGATCTTTCCTTCTGTGTATAAGGCGAATACCACTTGGTGAGCCTTACTTTCCCTTGCCGACTAACTAGTAGCACGAAATGTATCTGGAAATACAAACATAACCCAACACCTTAGAAGTTTTTCTTTTTCTCAAGAAAGCATTACTCTAGATGGTATTCACCAACTAAGAAAATCATTGTGAATGGAAATATACAGCACCTAATTAGTTTTTCACGTCTCCTCACCCATGGAAAATTATCAAGCATGAGAAAATTCTAGATCACAAAGACAGTATCGAGATGAAGAAAATTAAAACAGGACCAGTCAAAACCAGTAGTATATATCACGATTTCTGGAAACTCATAAATATTTGAAATGATGCACACAATGGGTAAGGAAAGCAAAAGGGGGAATTCAAGTACCGGAACTCGAAAATCATCAACATTCAACAATCATACACCTAAACTGTCCGCTAACGCAAGCCACAACACAAGCATCTCAAGAAAAGTTTTAAAACCATCTAAAGGTTTTCAACAACACATAGAAAAAACAAGGCATATCAAGATGGAGAGATCAAAGAGCCTGTGTTTCCAATTCAGAAACAGAGGCACACACATATTGACATATATATAGATAGAGCTTGGATGGATCCTACTATATGTGAAACCAAGAAGGTCAATTACTTCCACACAAGCAACAGTGGTTCAAAAACAGGAATTGAATTTTCTAACTCACAAGAAATTCGAACGGGCAATTTCAAGATCCACGAAACAAACCAATACTTTCACTTCATAACCATCGATCAATTTGTACGCGAGATCTACGGATACTGGAGGATTAGAATCGATTTCACTACCAAATCAAATCATAATCATAAAGATAGTATCAGAGATGCGAAATTCAGATTCAATAGTTGTTGTTTACGAGCAGCATCGTCAATACTCGATACAATGGCATAAGATCGAAGGCAGATCCATAAAATAGAATCCAAAAGCAAAGAGAGTGCCGATTGTTACCATTTTTAGCCGATTGAACAGCGAAGCTCGATTCCCAGAAGAGATCTCCAGAAGATGATGATCGTCGAATGAATCCTTCTGTCCCCGGCACACATTAGAAGAATGGCCTGAAATTCAGGGTTATAAAAGTAATATCACTTTGTTGGATACGGATCTTGTCCCGGGTCGGATTCATACAAAATTATTTTCTTTCTATTTTTTTTTATTTCAGTCGGTTTTTGTATTTACTGGGTAGTCTTTTGAATCCGGACCGTTGAACTAAAAAATTGGAACCGATCCGACGGTCAGAATTAATCGGGTTGGATTTTTACATCAGAATAAAAACTGTAACATTTTATTTCTGGTTGACAAAATATAAAAGACATTTTATTTTTGCGAAAAAGAAATTGAAAATAGTAAACCAAATTAAAATTAGCTCTGCACATTTTCTAATTTCTACTGCTTTACTTGCTAACATATCATCAAAGAAAGACTCACGCGTGCCATGAGGAGAGGGACTTTATCGTCTCCAACTGCGCCAATTTCCATATTCATAGCTTCATTTGTCAAACTCCCGTAACACTCCTCCATCCTCTGCAACATCCTCAACCACATTTCTACATTTATTAGTAACCTAACTTTGTCATGTACATTAACATCATCATCGCATAGCAAACACTCCCACAGTGATCTATTCGATGTTACAAAGTCATGGCTTAAAGCTTTAATCTCACAACAACAGAACAATTTTGCCGTCAATGATAAAAAGCCATAAATATGGAAGGACAAAAATGACTTTACATAAATTAAGATAATTTGGAGACTTAAAGAGTACAAAATAGAGAGAAAAGAGATCGATAAAGAAGAAATAAAATGAAGTTAAAATTACATCAAATCTAATTTTGGGTTTTTGTTTTGTTTTATTATTATCCGTCTCGTCGTGCTCCAACCATCATCTGTTGACTTGAGACGAAGGGCCAATGTCTCTGCTGGATCTGTTGTATTTCATGTGGCTCTTCACAAGCTGTCCAGCTGCAATAGCTGACATTAGTGAAAGCTCTCCTGCAAGAACCGAACCAGCCACTATTCTTGCCAATTGCTGTGCGTTCGATCCAGGTTCCTCGTTGTTAGATCCTTTCACACCGAGCAGATTCAAACAAGCTGATTGTGATGCAAGCTGTGTTCCACCTCCAACAGTACCAACCTAGAGCCACATCATTAAATAAAGTTCATGAGTTGGATCCAGCAATATTCAAAAAACTAACGGCTTTGTGTTCTCTGCAATAATGAGTTTAGTTTAATTTCAGATAGAACATGCATTATACCTCAATGCAAGGCATTGAGACAGAGATATGAAGGTCGTTGCCTTCAGCTTCAATCAGGGTGATACAGTGTGAGCTCTCCACGTTTTGAGCAGGGTCTTGCCCAGTGGCGATGAACACAGCGCTGACAATATTGCTTGCATGAGCATTGAACCCACCAAGAGAACCCGCCATGGCTGAACCAGCAAGGTTCTTGAGCGTGTTAAGCTCTACAAGAGCCTCAACGCTAGTCTTCAACACTTTCTCCACAATCTCAGCCTTAATAAAGGCTTCACATACAACATGCTTACCACGTCCTTCGATCCAGTTTACAGCCGAAGCCTTCTTGTCCGAACAGTAATTCCCTGAACACCATAACACCATTTAATCAAAAAAGAGTTAAAGACTTTATTTCGAAAATCGAGACAATACCAAAGAAAGAAAGAAGAGTTTACCTGATATGCCAATAACATCCATGTCAGGAAACTCGCTCTTTACGAAATCCAAGACATTCTGAACACCTTTGGAGACCATGTTCATCCCCATAGCATCACCAGTACTACACGCAAACCTCGGATAGAGATTCCTTCCAGCAATCTTACATGTAATACTCTGAAGCCTAGCAAATCTACTCGATCTATGAAAAAAAGTAAGACAAGTCAGTAACACCATTCAAATCACCATCCTAGCACTAACTAAAAGGAGAAACTTTCAAAACTCACTTATTGAAAATGAGAGACAATCTCTCGAAATTAGCAGGATCTTGAAGATAAAACATGACAAGAGCAGCTCTTCTTGCAGAAGGGAATCTAACAACTGGAGCTCTAGTCATGGCATCTTTCATAAGAACACTAAAAGCACCACCAGACAAGTGAATAGCTTTAAAACCTCTATTGGTACTAGCAACCAAACAACCTTCCGTTGTGGCCATTGGCACTGAATACTCAATCCTATCGAGTAACAAAGGTCCAGCAATTCCTACTGGGATCTGAACATACCCAACTGGCATCTCACAGCATTGCCCCAAGATTGAATTGTAATCAAAACCTTCCAATGGAAGACCGGTTAAGGATTTACCGGTTATCCTCTGAACCGCTTCTCTTCTAATCGCTGCTGCTCGTTTGCAATCTCCGAGTTTCGTCTCCAATGTGTACGAAGGGATAGTTCCGTCGATCACCGATTTAACGATTTCTTCATCTTCCACCGAATCAAGATCCGAAACCCGAGGAGGATCGACGGAATTAGGTTTAATCGGAAGAATCTCTCGACAATCTAGTGATTGACCACATGGAATCATCCCATCGTTAACCCAAACATCATCATCGGAAGAAGATCGGAAAATGAAATCGATACCGCAGAAACCAAGGAGATAGATAAAAGAAGCAACGAAACCGATGAGAGAGCAGATCTCACTTAGATCAACGACGTGAAGAGGCGTCGAGTTACGGATCTTCTCACGCCATCGGCTAAGAAGAAAATAAACAGTAGCGAAGAAGAGCGCGAGGAAGAAAGTGTTGGTTAGGTATAACGGAAGAGGAAGCGCGTCAGAGGCTTTACGAGGAGGAAGAGCGACGGCGACATTGGAGATTTCTTCGTCGTCATCGTTCTTTTTGGTCGGAAGTCTACGACGGAGATCCTCCATTGACGCCGGCGAGAAGGAGACCACAAATTGGAATTTTTTTTAATGGTTGTGAGAGTTTTTTGGGCTCCAAAGTCTGAGAGACAAAAATAGGTGAAGAGTGTATATTTATAGTGATGGTGGTGACATCGAAATCAACGTCAATGTTGTTGGGTCATCATCATAGAAGAAGAACAGAGAAGATGATTTTGTCTCCCGTCACAATCTAACTACTTCTTCTATTATTTCCACTTTTGGGATGGTTATTAGGGTAGGGTTATGGTTTTTGTTACTTTTGATTCTTTTTTCAACATATTTAATGTTATGGATTTTGATTGTTTCTAGTCCAAAAACAAATTACTGAAGAATTATTCAGACAATTAACATAAAGATGAGGCGTTTTTTTTTTAATCAAATATTCAAAGCTTTTAGATTTTTATTAAAAAAAAAAGGGAATGGTAAAAATTCAGTCTCTAAAATATACTTCCTCTGTTCCTCAAAGTTTGATGTTTTAGTGTTTTACGTTTGTTCCACAAAAATTGATTTTTTAGCTATTTATTTTATATTCTATTAATTGTTTTTAACAAATCGTAGATTTCAAGACGTAATAATTACAAATAATTAATTGTTTTAGATTACTATTGGATCATAGATTATTAAAAAAAATTAATAAAAAGAAAAAATTATCAAATGATTAAATCATGATTGTTTATTAATATATGTGTAAACTCTAAAACATCAAACTTTCAGGAATTATTATATAGAATTAATTATTTAACTAAAATTTAAAAATATATAGATAAAATCAAACTTTTAAATTGACTCGAATTATATGTCTATTAGATAAAATATTATTAAAAATAACAAATTGATGTTTATTTTCACGGGACGGGATTATATAGTGGGACGGGTTTGGATCAATATTAATACGGGACGGTATTAATATCACAAGTGAAATTCTAAAATTAACAATCAAAATACAATTATACAATCTTAAGCACTTAACAAACTAAACAATATTAAAAAATACAGTTTAAAATCTAGTGTAGTTTAAATTTTAAACCTTAATTTGGCATTCAAATTTTAATAGGTTTTTATTTTAAATACTATCATTCTTTTCTTATTTTGCTGGAATTTCCTATTCCATATTAATTTACCACGCTAGGTCCAACCAATTCACATAAAATGAAATGTTTTTTTAAAAAATGAAAAAGAAAACTATAAAAAAATACAATTCCTTGTTGTCATGAAGTTACATGATCATTTTTGTGTTGTAAATACAATTCATTTCTCAGAGGTTGAACCAATTCACCGAGTCGATTTCATTTTAAAGAACAAAAAAACAAAAAACACATCTGTGTGGGAAGTCTAGACTTGGGCTAAAGGCTCAAGCAGTTTACCTAGTAGTCCAGTAACAGGCGATCTGGCTACCCCATGACATTAGTCGGAAAGCATTCCAAACTCGGGACAGACAGTGTGGTGGCCCTTCGGGAAGAAGTCCACTCTGAAGCACTTCGGTACGTTTCTACCGGGCTGACCGGATCAGCCGATAGGGTTTTTTTTAAAAAAAAAAAAAAAAAAAAAAAAAAAAAAAAAAAAAAAAGAAAAGAAAAGAAAAAGAACAAGTGTCAATTAGGTGTATAACCATATTTGATAAGCAAATGAAGAATATAGCATCATAATCTTAGAAATTAAGTCAATAGCACAAAATTGTTGAGAATTACCATTTTGGGTTTTGGTGAGAGGCAAAAATGATTTCTCTATCCTACATGGAGCAAAAAATAATTATACCCCATGGCAAGTTTTTTTGCTTTAATAATTGTTGTAAGAATTTATTCAATTTTGTGATTCTGCTAAAAATCATATTTTCTTTTTTTACATATGATATAGTTTGGATTTTTTAAATCGGATACGTATTTTTTAAAATAGTAAATAGTTTGACATAAATAAAGTAGTATAGAATAAAGTGAAAACAGTATAGAAACGAAGCGTAGTGGCTATGATGATTCTGGAGACGGTGTGGTGGTGGTGGTTACGGTAATAGTGATAGTGTGGTGGTGGTAGACTGGTATTGGTGATGGCATGGTGGTGATGGTTGCGTCGCGGAGACTATGGTGGTGATGACATGGTGGTAATGGACTAATGGTTGTGGTGGTGGTGGTGATTATAAATGGAACGAGACGTAGTGGCCATTATCACTTTGAGGAGGTCGACGATGACTAAAGGTTTCTCTCTAACAGCGTGTTGGTGTGACGGTGTGATAGTGGTTGCGGTGATGGTGTGGTGGTGGTTGTGGTGGAGATGGTGGTGATGACATGGTGAAAATGGTGGTGGTGGTGTTTATAAATGGAACGAGATGTGGTGGTAATTATGACTTCGATGAAGTCGACCATGATAAAAGGTTATGGTGGTGAGTGGTGACGGTGTGATAGTGGTTACGTTGACGGTAGAAATAAATAGTACAGTTAAAAAGAAGAGTGAAAAGAAGGTAAGAAACAAGGGTATAATGGCAAATATTATAGAAAATATACGGAATACTATCCACTTTTTTTGTTTTGGTTAGTTAGTAAATTATTAAATTTTTGTTGGTTATTGATGCAAATTTTCCAAAGAACAATCCCATTTTAACGTTGATTCATTGTTTTTGTTGGTAATCTTTAGATCATAAACTCAAAACAGGTAAATTATATGTTGATGATTCTTCCTTTCTTGTTGTTTGTCTGTTGCTAAACTTGCTCTTGTTTGTGTTTGTTTGCAGAAGAAGAAAACAGAGAAGAGAAGGGAAATGACACAGGATTTACAAGTTCCCAAGGTCAATGTGACCAAGGTACGTCTTGGTGAGCTTACTAACCAGCTCACAAGGTTTTATAGAGTGTTTGAAATACCGAGTACAAGAAACCAGACAACAGAGTAGCCTAGAGATTACACAACCGAGAAGAAGAAAATAAGGTCTTGCTTCTTTCTCTTAATCTCTCTCTATTTCTGCTTGCAACTCACACCCTCTCTCACTCGTCACCACCCTCTACTCACCTCTTTATACTCCTTAGGTACGCTCCCCTTACAGCTCACATTTTAACCTAGGCATAACAAATCTTATCGCCTAATGGAGTGCTGTATCCGTACCTGAGAGTGAAGACAAACGCAGAAAAGTTGACTGTGACTTTAGACCGTTACCTGAGCTTATCTTCCTGTGTTGGGCCTGTTCCAGACTTAGTTTAGGCCCATCAACAATAAACTCTGGCCCATTTCGGAAACTGGATCGCTGAACTCACATTCTCCACCTCGATCCTCTTTCCGACAATACCCGAGAAGACCGACCTGTCCTCTCTCTTTGTTCCGACTTCACCGCCGAAACCCTAGCTCACTTCGAGCTAGATTCATTCTCTGAGTACCCTCAGATCTTTCTTTCCATCCTCAAATTTCTTTCCCGGTAGAGCCTTGGTAAGGATGTCAGCTGGATTGACTTCGGTGTCAATCTTGGTTACAATCAGATCTCCTTCAGCTATCACATCTCGGATGAAGTGATACCGTACCTGAATGTGTTTGGTCCTCTCATGGAAGACACTATTCTTGGACAAGCAAATGGCACTCTGTGAATCACAAAACACTTCGACTGTTTCTTGCGGGAATCCCAATTCACAGGTAATTCTCTTCAGCCACAAGGCTTCCTTTGCAGATTCAGCTAAAGCCATATATTCAGCTTCCGTTGATGATACTGCGACTATATGTTGCAGACCGGACCTCCAGCTTACAGTGTTTCCTCCCACCTGAAAAGCATATCCAGTAATCGATCTTCTCCGATCAAGGTCAGCAGCATAATCACTATCACAGAATCCCTTTATCTCGAACTTGTCAGATTTCTTGAAAGTTAATCGACACTTCGAGCTTCCTTTTAGATACCTAAGTATCCAATTAACTGCATTCCAATGTTCTGTGTTAGGAGAGCTCATGAAACGACTCACCAGACCGACAGCGTGGGCAATGTCTGGGCGCGACCCGACCATTGCATACATGAGACTTCCTACTGCATTTGAATACGGTATGTGTCTCATTCTTGATTCAGTTTCTGCCTTGTCTTCTTCTTTAGTACTAGATAGCTTGAAATGACACCCAATTGGTGTTTGAACTGGTCTTGACTCAGTAACACCAAAATCCCTTAAGACTTTTTCAATATAGGCTTCCTGAGATAGGATTAAGGTACCTTTACTCCTGTCTCTGATGATATCCATCCCAAGAATCCTCTTTGCTGGTCCTAAGTCTTTCATTTCAAATTCCTTACTCAGCATCAACTTGACCTTTTCCACTTCTCTCATGTCTTTAGCCGCAACCAACATGTCATCTACATACAATAGTAGATACACAAACTTCCCTTCCTCATAACACTTGAAATACACACATGAATCATATTCACTCCTTAAGAATTTCTGAGCCTTCATGAACTTATCAAACCGCAGATTCCACTGTCTTGGAGACTGTTTTAGACCATATAGGGATTTTTGAAGTAAGCATACCTTATTTCCCTGTGAGTAACTTTCAGGCTGTTCCATGAGTATTCTTTCTTCCAGAATACCGTGTAGAAAAGCTGTCTTGACATTAAGTTGTTCCAGCTCAAGATCCTTCTCAACTACTATTGATAGCATCAATCTTATGGTCGTGTGCTTTACCACTGGAGAGAATACCTCATTGTAGTCAATACCTTCTACCTGAGCATAGCCTTTTGCTACCAGCCTGGCTTTAAACCTTGGTTCTTCCACTCCTTGAATCCCAGGTTTTAGCTTAAATACCCATTTGCACCCAATAACTTTCTGTCCTTCTGGTCTCTCAATCAACTTCCAAGTTTGATTCTTTTCATGTGATGCCATCTCCTCATCTGCTGCACCTTCCCACTTCATTTTATCCTTTCCATTCATAGCTTCTTGGTAGGTCCATGGTTCTTCTGTTTCTGACAACTCAGCCATGGTAAGTGCATAAGCCGCAACATCACTATCATCAAATCTGCTAGGAGGTTTTATAGTTCTCCTTGCTCTATCCCTGGTTAAGAGATAATTCTCAAGGTTCAATGGTGACTTTCTTGACTCAGCTTCTTGTTCTGAGTCCTCTTCAGCCTCTGTCTCTAAAGAAGCTCCACCTCCAGCTGAAGATTCACCATTTTCTCTTAGTCCTTCACTACTTTCAGCCTCTTCTGATAAAACCATGTCAACTTTTTCTTTTCCTTTTGACTCAGTTTCTTTCATCACATCTTTGTAAAGTATGTCTTCTCTGAAAGTAACATCTCGACTGATCACACACTTCCTTTCTTCATAACTCCACAG